ACAAATGGCTTCACTGTCTTCTCTTTCACTATCCTTAACTACCACAGCCTTCTTTTTAATCAGGAAATGTAATGCTTGCATTACACCAAGAGCATCTCTTTAGAAAAGCCTTCTCTACGAGAACATGATACCCTGTTTTTAAAATCTGTCTCCCTACATTTAGAATATAGGCTCTCCTCTTGTAGCACGTAGTCCATCTGGACATAGCCAGAAGCTACTATTAGATTGTCCATATCTGTTATGGGAGCAGGTAAGCAATACTGAAAAAGTTCAACCTTAGCCTTTTCAACTCAGGTTATGTCAGAATTTGCCACCTTTTGGGTGAGAACCAGCCCTTCTACCAACTCACAGTCATCAGCTGTTCCACATTGAACTATTTTGATATCGCCAAGATCTACACTAGTGACTGTGGCTGGGTCAGTTTCCTCATGGAGTTTATACTCATAGGAGAAAGCAGACTTGACTATTGAGAGATAACCTTTGAGTTAACAGAGCTTCTCTATCACTCATTCCAAAGGTCAAGAAGGATATAAATCCTTCTAGAATGACTTGGAAATGATGGTTGGATGAATCCCTTTCTGAAAATGCACGATATAGGAATCTAAGAGTCGGTGACAATGACCACTGACATACTGCCACTTGAGCTGCTTCATCTTGAGCCGCTTCATCTTGAGCCTTAGCTCCACTGGGTGCCAGAGGTAACACCTGCATGTGTTTCACAATGGTAACACCATCATTTGTAATGCATGGTCACACCCCCTTTTCCATCTTGAATCATTTTATTCATTCCATTTGGTCCAAGGCCTGTTCTAATAGCATCAGTCACAAAGATGCAGCCGAAGCAGACCTTGCATGTTGGCAGCCCTGGTGGACACCCCACTTCACAGAACCACTTCTCAGGTGTGGTAAGCTTGGCTGGGTCTACACAGGCTCAGAAAGGACAGATGGACATGAATGGACACTCTGGCTGGCTGAAGAGTGAAAGTGTGCATGGGTAACCCCTGAAGGGGATCATAACATGTCACCCTGAAATATGCCATGTTAGCATATTGATTATGTTGAGCTAAAGGCAACTGAAAAATGGCATGTACAGAATAGGTTTTCCAGATGGAAAATCAGCAAGGAAATGGTGTCCTTAACAACTCACTAGATCAGATGGGTTTAACTGATATCTTTAGAGCATTTCACCTCAATAATAATTTTAAATGTAAATAGCTTAAATGCTCCAATCAAAAGACAGAGTAGCTGAATGGATAAGAAAACGAAACCCATATATACGCCATCTGCAAGTGGCTTGCCTCAGAAAGACACATATAGATGAAAAGTAAAGGGACGGAAACACATATTTCACACACATGGAACATAACAAAAGCTGGGATAGCAATACTTATTAGCCAAAATAGACTTTAAAACAAAGGCTATACAATAAGAGACTAGGCCAGACATTATATAATGATAAGTGGATTGATCTAATGAGAGGAGATAACCCTTGTAAACATGTATGCACCTAAAATAGGAGCACTAAAATACGTAAAGCAAATCTTGATGGACATAGAGGGAGAAATGAACAGTAATAGAGTCATACTAGGCGATTTTAACATCCCATTGACATCAATGAATAGATCTTCTGGACAGAAAATAAGAAAAGAGAAGCCTTAAATGACACATTAGATCAGATGGATTTAGTTGATATTTTCAGAGCAATTCACTCCAAAGCAGCAGCATATACATTCTTTTCAAGTGCACATGCAACATTTTTTAGGACAGAGCACATGTTAGGACACAAAATGAGTCTCAATAAATGTAAGAGGACTGGAATTATATATCAGGCATCTTCTTGACTACCATGGTGTGAAACTGAAGATCAATGACAAGAAAATAACTGAAAAACACACAAACTCATGGAGGCTAAATAATATGCTACTAAACAATGAATGGGTTAACATGAGATCAAGGAAGAAATTAAAATATACCTTGAGACAAATTAAAATGAAACACAACCCAAAATCTATGGGATGTAGCCAAAGCAGTTCTAAGAGAGAATACATAGCAATATAGGCCTACCTCAAGAAACAAAAATCTCAAATACACAATCTAAACTTACACTTAAAGGAACTAGAAAAACAACAAAGCCCAACGAGAGTAGAAGAAATAATAAAGATCAGAATGAAAATAAAATAGAGTCTAGAAAAATAATACAAAAGATCAGTGAAAACAAGAGCTGGTTCTCTGAAAAGATAAACAAAATTGACAAACATTTAACAAGACTCATCAAGAAAAAAAAGAGTCCTGGCTGGTGTGGCTCAGTGGATTGAGCACTGGCCTGCGAACCAAAAGGTCATTGGTTTGATTCCCAGTCAGGGCATATGCCTGGGTAGTGGGACAGGTCTACTGTAGGGGGCGCAACTAGAAGCAACTATGCATTGATGTTTCTCTGCCTCTCTTTCTCCCTCTCTTCCTCCCTGCCTAAAAATAAGTGAAAAAAAATTTAAAAATCATATAAATGGTTGCAGAAAAAACATTTGACAAAAATCCAGCATTTATGATAAAAAGAACTCTCAGCAAAGTGGCAATAGAGGGAACATAATAAAGGCCATTTTTGACAAATTTACAGCTAACATCATACTCAAAAGGGAAAAACTTTGTTTTTCCCTTAAGACTGGGGACAAGACAGATGTCTGCTTTCACCACTCTTATTCAGCACAGTACTGAAAGTCTTAGCCACAGCAATCAGACAAGATTAAAGGTATCCAAGTTGGAAAGGAGAAGGAAAACTTATTTGCAGACAACATGACACTGTATATAGAGAACCCTAAAGATTCCACCAAAAAACTAGTAGAACCAATCAATCAATTCAGTAAAGTAGAATACAAATAATTATCCAAAAATCAGTTGAATTTTTATATACCAATAATGAACTATCAGAAAGGGAAACTAAGAAAAAAGTCCCATTTACAATTGCATAAAAAAATACCTAGGAATAAATTTAACCAAGGATATAAAAGACTTATACTTGGAAATTATAAGATACTGAAGAAATTAAAGAAGATACAAATGAATGGGAGGATATATACTGTGCTCATGGACAGGAATAATTTACATCATTAAGCTACCCAAATTACTCTAAGCAATCTATAGATTCAATGCAATTCCTAACAAAATACTAATGGCTTCTTTCAGAGAACTACAAGAAATATTCCAAACTTTACACAGAATCACAGAAGACCCCAAATAGTCACAGCAATCCTGAGAAAGAAAAAAGCTTGAGGTATCACACTACCTGATGTTAAACTATAATACAAAAATATAGTAATCAAAACAGTATGATACTGGCATAAAAACAGACATCCAGACCAATGGAACAAAATAGAGAACCCAGAAATAAACCCACATCTATATGGTCAATTAATATTTGACAAAGGAGGTAAGAACATACAGTGGGGTAAAGACAGTCTATTTAATAAATGGTGTTGGGAAAACTGGACAGATACATGCAAAGAAAATGACACTAGACCACCCTCTTATACCATATACAAGAATAAACTCCAAATGGCTTAAAGACTTAAGTATTAAACTCGAAGCCATAAAACTTCTAAAAAAAAAATAAAGATGATAGGCAGTAAAATCTGTGACATTTCTCATAGCAATATTTTTCTGATATCTTTTCTCAGGCAAGAGAAACAAAAAATGGGACTATATCAAACTAAAAAGCTTATGCATTGCAAAGTAAACCATTAACAAATGGAAAGAACCTACTGAATAGAACATATTCTCCAATGATACATCTTATAATTGGTTAATATCCAAATTTACAAACTCAGACAACTTGACACACACATACAAAGAAAAAAACAATCCAATTAAAAAATGGGCACAGGACCTGGATAGACACTTCTCCAAAGATGGCCAACAGACATGAAAAGATGCTCAATGCCACTTATCAGAGAAATTCAAGTTAAAATCACAATGAGATATCACCTCACACCTGTGAGAATGGCTGTCATCAAATTCATAAATAAGTGACACTTTGTAAAGTATATGATTGTCTAACCACTATGTTATATACCTGAAACTAATAAAAATTTTGAATGCAAACTATAATTAAAAATTTTTTAAAAATACGTGAACAAACAAAAGAAAAACTAACTCAGACACAGAGAAGAAACCGATGGTTGCCAAATCAGGGAGGGGTCAGGAGGATGGGTGAAAAAAGGGAAGGGATTAAGAAGTACAAACTGATCTCTCTTATGTGTGAAATCTAATGAACAAAATAAACTGACGAACAAAACAGAAGCAGATGTGGGTACATGGAACCGACTGACAGGTCTCAGGGCGTGGGTGGGTGGGCATTGGAAGAGGTCAGCTGAAGAACATACATACACGGCCCACAGACTCAGACAGCAGTGTGGGGAAGGTCAGGGATGGGGCTGGGGTGTTGGAGTGGGGCAAAGCTGGGGGGAAATGGAAAACATCTGTAATAGTGTCGACAAAACAAGTAAATAAAAATACAAGTGCACACTGCCAGTTATAAAAATAGTCATGAGGATGTAAAATACAGCATAGGGAATATAGTCAATGATACTGTAATAACTATGTATGGTGTCAGATGGGTACCAGACTTACCAGTGTGATCACTTGAGTTATATGAATGTCTAATCACTATGTTGTATGCCTGAAACTAACATAATATTGTATGTCAACTATAATTGAAAAACAAAGACTTGTACATGTTGTATTTAAAGAGACAATAAAAAAGGAAATTGCCATCAATTCAAGTTACTCCTAAAAATAAAGGCTTATTGAATACCAAGGAAAACCGGCCAAGTTTTTTTTAAAAGATGCATAAATTTATTAAAACATTGAAGACATTTACCAATTTATTGAAGTAAAAAATATAAATTCTTAATTAACTCTAGAAACCCAAGAAGTCCCAGGAATTCAGCTTCAAAGACTTTAGTAAGAGTTCTTTGTCAAAGGTGTTAATGTTACGTCCTTTGTTAGACTGGTACTTGGAGCACTTCTGATGCCATGTCACCATTTCCCCCCTGGCCCATTGCCTTGATAAATTAGTCAGCAGTAGCATTGAAACTGTGGGTAGATGAGAGTGTCTTGTTCATATTTATCTAAATGTAGCACCAGGTTTCCCATTCTGTGAAATGCACTTTACAATTCTTTGGTGCGGGAAGCCTTTAGATTCCTGTTTTCCCCAGGCACAGAAGAGCCACTCAGGTGGCTCTGTCCCAACACCTTTGAGTATTTGTCAAGAGTTAAAACACCTGCTGAATCATTGCTGCAGGACTCCTTATAGAAATGCAGCTAAAAATGTCCCAGAAGGGTCTTTACTCTGTTCTGTTCTGTAACATCCCAAATTTACTTGGCTGGTCACCGTTAGGCAGGTAGGTGTGGATTAAAAATTTGGTAACTCACAATCATTTTGGCCACATATAGGTTAATATTGTCGCTACAAAGCTTGAGAGAAGAACCCGGACCAGCAGTGTGTTCCAAGTAAATCTCACTACGGGCATGAAGGTGCAACAGAAGCCGTCCTACAAGGGGGAGGGAGAAGAGAAGAATTAGATGGTCTCATAATGTTCAAGAGCTGAACTCAATAAAACACACACAGGAGGTTTCAGATGACTCCTGGATTTAAAAGTAAAAAAAAAAGAAATACCAATAAGCAACCTATAATTAGGAACTGTTGAGGAGTTGTGATTTGTAAGAAGTGGTCCAATATTGGGCATAGAAAAGAATATAGGGGACACTTCAGTTTGAGGGAACCCTGCCTTTGACTCCTTTCAAAACTCAAGAGGAAGGGAGACAGACCACTACAGACATACCTCATTTTATTAAGCTTCACAGGTGTTGCCTTTTTTTTTTTTAAACACAAACTGAAGGCAAGACCCTTCACTGCAAAAGTATTACTCTAACTTTCCCTTGGTGGTCTGAACTGAACTCACAAGATTTAGGCCTGTATATCATGTTCTTTCCTGAGCAAAGGAGAGATGCCATTTGGGAAACTGTCAAATCGCTGGGTTGAAAGTTATCACCTGTGACAATACAGCAAGCAGCTCCATATAGAAAAGTGGAAAGGAAAGGAATTGAAATCCAGACTGGAGCATTTTAAGGGCATCTGGGAGAATGGTGGGCATGTCCTGTTTACTCAGTTGGAGAATTTTGGCTTCTGCATGTTAAAAGGTTAGTTCCTTGCCAGTGTTGATTAGCTAAAACAGCAAAAAACAATGCCTGCCCCCCACCCCCCATCAATTTAAGCGCAGAGGGTCCATACCGGCCAAATGCCTTAGGACAAATAGTTCAGGTGAAATTCTTAGCGTTCACAGGTGCGGATAGTTGAAGACTGACACACACACCACAAAGAATGCAAGAGTTAATTCTCACACCGCAAACTGTTTACACAGGCTCTAGGTTCTGATTCGGATACTACCTGTTCTCCACGAATGGAATCCAACTGGTCACCACTGGTCTAACACACCACTGCCAACAGTAGGCTTTTTAATAATTTGGCTGTATTCGTTCTACAGTCTCGGTTACTTCAGTCATCGATTCAACTCCAGTTAGGAAGAGAGGAAACAGGGTCTAGTTCAGAACCCAGAGAGGCACGCTACCCTCCTACTGTAGGGTGGCAGGGCTTCACTTGACCCCTAACTCCGTTTAGGAGCTGTAGCCAAGCGCCTGCCCCTCTAGCCTAAACCACAGAGACCAAATGGAATACAGCTGAAAGCTAGGGCGCTTGGATATCTCCCAATGGAGGGCTGGGCACAGGGGATTAGAAGTTAAGGAATCTTGAGTCAGCACCGCCACTGGGTGTTGGTGCACACTCACCAACACCTGTGGCCTCGGTTCTTTCTGAGAGGTGTGGGGGCGGGGGAAGGCGGTGGCTTTTCATTCTAACGTTTCAGGCAGAGCAGTGGGGTCAATGAGTGTGAGTCTGTCTAAAGGCGCGCTCAATAGAGGAGAAAGAATCTACCTGGCCTGGACCACCCACTGGACCATCCCCGAGCTGGTAAATCTAGGGGATCCCTATCTGAGAAAAGCATCCAGACCTAATGCGCGCGCATCCTAAACCTCGGAGGGCGAGCAAGGTCAGGGCCAAAGTAGGCAAACCCAAGTCGTGCGCAGCTGCTTCTGAATTAAGAGAGCCGTCTAGAAAGGGTAGTTTCTGTCGGCCTGGCTCCGCCAAGAGAGGAGAACCAGAATTCACACCGAACGTCCCGTGTTGCTGAAACGAAGACCCCACGGAGCTGGCGCCGCTGGGTCTCTCTGGGTTCCAGCCGCGTGAGGACGTCCGGCGCCGACCGCCCCGCCCGGGGTCCCGCGCCCCGCTCACCCAGCCGCCCTGTGCCTCCAGCCAGGCGCGGTGCTCCACGGTGAGCCAGTCGCACAGAAAGTCTACCAGCCTCTGGCAGTCCGAGCCCACGTCTGCTTCTGCCTTCCACCCCTTCAGTTTCGACGAATGGCTTTGGGGCCGTCTCTCCAGCAGGATCCCCGCGAAAGCCACGAGCACCACCACGCGGCCCCAGCTGGGGAATCCGCGGTCTTGGACTATCTGCCGTGCCACATCCGCCACCAGCCGCAGGCGGTTTCCCCGAAATCCGCGGAAGCGGGACCAAGTGAATTGGTAACGCTGTTGGACCTTCTCGGCGAAGTAGCGCAGCAAGGCGGCCTCGAGCGTGGACGGTTGCCGCTCCTCAGTGCCGGGCACCCGGGCGCAGTTTTCCAGGTAGTCGGCCAGCAGCTGCGCCGTGCGCCGCCTCAACTCGTCCCCCATAGCTGCCGGGGGTCCTGGCTGGGGCCGGCTTTTTAGGCCCGGCTGCAACTCCCCCCGGGAGGGGCTACCCGCCCCCGCCCCGCCCCGCCCCGCCCAGGCAGTAGTGGTTTGCAGGTCGGGAGAGGAGCCTTTAACGCGAATCCCAGCAACACCTGTGCGGGTGCCAAAAACAAGGCTCAGCCTCGTGCTCGTGTTCACGTAGCAATCAGGGGCAGAGTAAGACTCTTCAGGGGTTGTTTAGCTCTCCGCCTGGGGCCTAAGAACCTGGAGGGGACAGTCTGGGAAGTTGGGCCAGACCTTTGTCTTCTATTAAGGAGAGGTTGATGAAGCGACTCACAGCCTTCATTGACAGCTCACGTGCGAGGATGTTCAGTATCTCTCAATTGTGTGTGAGAGCTCCTTTCTTTGGGTCTGGTATATGTGGCAGGATAATTCTCCGTGGGCTGCTCGAATGCCAATATATTGGCTGCACTCATTCACTCGTATTTATTCAGAGCCCTTGGGGGTGCTCCTAGCACTGGAGATACAACGGAGAGAAGACATGTGGTCCCTGCTTTCAAGGACCCTACAGTCCAGTGATGGGACAAAGACACAGACCAACACAGTGGAGTTTAATTGTGGCCACAATATAACAGGAGAGGCTGAGGGCTACTCAACTCTAGGTTAATGGCTGCTTCTGACTGCTACCATTCTTACATTGTGTAGAGTTTTCTTTACTTTTTATTGGCCAGTCCTTCATTACTCCAATCCCCTATTATAGTTCATGCTTATTTGAATCCTTGTCTGTTCACATTACTCTATGGCTTATTTCTCCTAGTTGGACACAGTCTGATACAAAATTGGTACCAGCAGTGAATTTTTTAGGGGTCCAGTGGTCCAAGCATGTTGCAGTATCCCACCTCGAGTAAAAGAGGAATTGCTTCATCTTGCACCATCCACAAGAAAAGGGGCACAGTGCTTGCCAGGTCGTTTTGGATTTCGGAGGCGACATGCACTACATTCGAGTGTGCGATGCAGCCATCGACAGGCCGGTGGTTTGGGGAGCAGAACAAGGGAAGGCTCTGAGGAACATTCAGGCTGCGGTATAAGCTGCTCTGCCACTTGGGCCTTATGATCCAACATTTCCAGTGACACTTGTGTCAAATAGGGGTGCTGTGTGGAGCCTCTGGCACACACCAATAGCAGAATTACAGCGTAGACCTTTAGAATTTAGAAGCAAATCAATGTTGTCCTCTGCAGATAACTATTCTCCTTTTGAAAAGCAGGTTCTGGCTTGCTCCCGGGTCTTGGTAGAGGCTGAATGCCTAACCAAGGGGCATCAGGTGACTACGCACCTTGAGTTGCCATTGTGACAGGGATGTTGTTGGACCTAGTGATCGGGTTGGGCATGCACAGCAGCGATCTGTCATCAAGTGGGGATGGTATACGAGAGACTGAACTCAGGCACTTCCACTGGTTGCAATCAATGGCACAAGCAGGTTGCTTTGCCTGCTCCCTCATTCCATACCTACGGCTTCCAGGGATTTGCTTCTGGCCAGGTGACTGAGGGAAAGAAACTGAAGCCTGGGTTACAGATGGGCCTATGTGACATGCTGGTACCACATGAAAGTGGACAGCTGTGACACCACAGCCCCATTCAGGAGTGACTGTGAACAGGGTGGTGAAGGAAAATCCTCCCCGTGGGCTGATACTCAAGCCACATGGGACTGTCCTCTATATCTGGGGTGCGAAATGGCCAGAGCACAGGCAGACCTACACAGATTTATGGGCAGTTGCTGATGGTTTGGCTGGATAGGCAGGGCCTTGAAAGAAACAAGATTGGAAGAGTGGTGGCCAGGAAATCTTAGAAAGAGTTATGTGCCTGGACTGCTCTGAGTGGGCACAGACTGAAATAATTGTGCCCCATCACATGCCCCCACAGGAAGCCACTGCAGAGGGGACAAAATTCTGTGCTCTGTGAATGTCAGAGAGCTTCCTACCCAGCCACCGTCGTGCTTGCTCACACCATAAACGAGGAGGCCAGGGCAGCAGGGGGAGAGGATGTGGCGGCAACGGAATTCTCTCTGCAAAGGCTGGGCTGACAGCGCCAGCAATTCCTTTACAGTGAGCCAAATGAATTGGTCAGCAGGGAATATAAATCTCTGTACATCGAATTCCCATTGGAACTGGTTTTGACGTCTATGGGTTCCCTCTTTGAGTTAAGTAAACATTTTTACTTATGTTCATGTTTTATATGTAAAAGTCACGATTTCACCTTTTCAACATTGTATCTTTGCAGCAAGCACAGAGGAGTCGTATGGGGGTGAGTGACAAATCCTCTGGCCCTGTGGCTGATAACTGTTAATTATCAGTTGAGCGAAACAACAAACGAAGAAATTAACCTCCACGGTTTCTGATGCACACGATGCAAGGAAGCAGTGGGCAGACAGACTTGATTAAAACCCTGGCGCTGCCGCTTAGAAGTTGCAACCGTGAGCAACTTGTTCCGCTCTCCCAGCCTCCATCTCCTCACTTAATGCACGGGGGCAAAGAACCGCCTCTTCGGGCTGCTCCAGGGTTACACGAGCTGGTGTATGCGCTGTGCTTAGCACAGTGCCTGGAACGGAGTGCAAGCTCTTTCCCGAGAAGAGTCTGTCAGTAGTGTGAACTAACCAGGGTCACCATGTTCACCTGACCCGCTTTTAACCGAAACACAAAATGTGACATTTGGTGAGCCTTACCTATATGCTACTTTTTTTTAATACTGAAAAGAGCTAGAGACTGACTGCCTACTTTTTTATATTGGATTTATATAAAATATATATTACCATGTATATTTTAACAGCTTTATGTCCGTTCCCATTCACCCCACTCCCAGCCCTAAGTAACCACCGGTCTGCCGTCTTTATGGATTTTGCCTTCTAGACATTTCACATACATGGAATCATACCACATGTGCCCCTTATTGTCTGGCTTCTTTCACTTAACATAATGTTTTCGTGGTTCATCCATGTTGTAGAATGTGCCCAAACTTCACTCCTTTTTATTGCCAAATACCATCCCTTTCTGTGGATGTATTAACACCATGGTTTTGTTCAGCCCACCACTGGTTGCTGGACATGAGTTGTCCAATCCTGGGCTGTTTATGAATACTTGTGTTCAAGTTTCTGTGTGGATATTAGTTTTCCTTCCCCTTGGGTACAGACCTAGGAGGAGGAGGCCACCTGTCGCAGGGCGGGGGTGGGGGAGGGCGCAGATGAAAACAGTGACCTCTGCTTCGTTTCCTGATGTATGACAAAGTTAAGTGGTGTGCTGGTTAGATAACCTTGGGTTCAAATGTGGACATTTCCTGTTGTCAGTCTTTACACAAGTGCTCACACAATACTTACACTCAGTCGTTCATATTTATTTACTCATTAAATAGTCCAGAGTGCCATTCCTGATCCTGTCTCCTCACCCGAGAGTCTGCATCCTTTTTACAAAGACGTAAAAATATTAATTTAACTTCTTTCATCAGAAATGGTCAAGTCCTAGCTGGTGTGGCTCAGTGGGTTGCACACCCTCCTGTAAACCAATGAGTTGCAAGTTTGATTCCCAGTCAGGGCACATGCCTGGGTTGTGGGCCAGACCCCCAGTTGGGGGCATGCAAGAGGCAACGGATTCATGTTTCTCTCCCTTTCTCCCTCCCTTCCCCTTTCTCTAAAAATAAATAAAAATTTAAAAAATAAAGCAGAAATGGCCAAGAGCCAGCTCACTGTGAATGGCCAGTCCCAAAGGCCACCCTAGCTGCAGCCAGGTCCTCTTTAGGAGAGTGAGGGTGTCTGTGCTATGTCTTGAAAATTGACCTGATTCTCTCCCATCCTGATTCAGCCTCCCGTTCTCACAAAGGATCCACAGAGGTAGGATCCACTGAGCGCTTTCCTCCAGCTGCCCCGCCTCGGTCCTGCCCAGCTCAGAGTGCCAGGGGAGGGGCCTTATGGATGTATATTTTTAAACTGTTGTAGACCCAGCAGCCAAGTTTGGGAAGTGCCGATCTGCAGACCCCTGCTCAGTCAGCCTGCCTGGCCCCGGGGGAAAGCCAGCAGAAGTGCTGTGGTCCCAACCCCAGCCTCATTTCATCTAACCCGGGGGTGTCAAACTCATTTTCACTGGGGGCCATATCAGCGTTGCAGTTGCCATCAAAGGGCTGTGGGTGATTTTAGGACTATATCAATGTATCTACTTCTTAACTAGGGGCAAGGAGCTCCGCCCTGCTGCCAGGTAGAAACCAGGTGCAGGGCTGCCTAAAACAAGGTGGAGGGACGGTCTGCCACCTGTGTTCTACCCTATTGGCTGGGCTTAGCCCTGGATCTCACGTGTCCTCGTTTGGAAAAGGTTGTCAGGGGTCCACAGGCTCCGCTGGTCTCCAGCCTTTCCCGTGGGCTCTCTGTGCCCTTGCAGGGCCTCTTACGTGGCCACCCGAACGCCTCCTCTGAGGTGCCTTCTCACGGCTCCTTCCTCGATCACCCTGCGTCCTTCCACCCCCTGTTCCAAGCTCTTATCAAGGCCTTACTGGCCTCAGGGAGGTCTCGTGCATTAACCCGGATCAGCTGTTTTCAGAGTGTGGTCCCACCTTCAGGGTCTCTGAGACCCTGTCAAGGAGTCCTTCAAAGTGGAAATTTACCAACTTCCATGATAATAATAATGACTTTTTTTTACGTGTAGCTTTTTAAATGCTCGTTCTCTCAGCTTTCTAGAAGCTCCTGACGTGTGATGAAAGGATCGCCAGTGGGAGGGGTGATTGTATTCTTGTCCTTTATAATTATTCTGTTTTAATTACTAGTGATAAATATCGATAAATATAACCCATACAAACAAAAATCTCTTTGGGGCCCTCAATTTCTGAAAGTATAGAAAGGTTTTAAGATCCAAAACTCTGAGAACCACTGGCCCAGATGGAGTCCTAATTGGTGATAATTAGATACACGCGTGGGGGCTGCTTATGGAGAGGAGGATGCGGGGGAGGGAAGGATTCGGAGTAGGGAGGAAGGGAGGTGAAGAAGAGGAGGAGGAAGAGAAGACAGAGGAGGGAAGAGGAGGGAAGAGGAGGGAAGAGGGGCTGAGGGAGGGAAGGGAAGTTAATAGGGAAGGGAGGGGGGGGAGGGTGCAGGGACAGACATGAAGGCTGGCGGATGCCCTGAAGGCTGAGGTCGGTACTTTACGTACGTCATGCTGTCCTGTTTCATCGATGAGGAAACTGAGGCTGACATTTGGATGTCATCACATGTCCTGTGAAAGGGGCAGAGCTGGCTCTGAACCTAGAGTCACATCCTTCGTCACCCTGCTGTCCCCCTCTGACTTACAGATGAGTCCAATGTGTCAATGCTGCCACCTTCTAGCCAGCTGGCAAACAACTACAGAAACCCAGGATGCAGAGGCCTTCACAGCCCCGTGCTGCGACTTACAACCCCGGGAAGGGTGTGAAGGAGGTCAAGGGGCGGGGTGTGGAGTGCCTTCCGCTGGCCTCGGGCTCATTCCAGAGCGGGCCGCGGCGGGGCCTGGGTTCTGAGAGGCCCGCCGCCCCGCCCTGAGCAGCTGCCTTGATTTCCGTTCGCAGGTGTTCCCGTAAGCACCCATCAGGGCCCGACCCCTCACCCCGCTGGCTCCCCCCTCTGCTCTGCCAGGCGTGTCCAAGGCTATGCAACACCTGTGGGCACACCCATTTGTCCCCTTCACCACAATCAATCTGGTAGGTTTGCCCCCAAGGCCTCTTAAAAAAAGGAAAAACGGGTTGAAAAACTCCAGTCAGCCTTATTTTCGATATGCAAAATACAATTTATTACTTGGAGTTTACCTCTGAGTCTCCACATGGTATAGTGTATTCCCAACCAAGTTGTCATCCATATATACTAAACGACACCCACTGTGAGATGAAATACTTGTAAGGGAGGTGGCTTACTGCCCGTGGGGTAAGTATTCTACAAAATACTTTCTTAGGGCCCTTAAAGTCGCTTTTTTAACTGAAAAGTTGTGGCCTTTTTTGTGCACATACCGAAGATGCGCTCCGCCTCTCCAAACACACAGCTGGACGTTGCTGTCCCTCGGTCTAAAGGGAGGTGACTCTCCCTTTGTCCTGCCTTCCTTTGCTGCAGAGGCTGGAAAGGGCCTGTGGGAGAGGGAAGGGGAGGCCGTGACAGGAGACCAGGGGCGTGGGGCCTTTTCCTGAGCCCCGGCCCAAATGGGTCCTGTGGGGGAAAGGGCAGGTGACTGAGAAACGGTCCCTCTGGGGTCCTCACAGGCAAACAGGCGCCTTGTATATTTCTTCCTCTCGCCAGGGCCTCCTGTATACTAAAACCCTCAGAAGTCACTGAATATAACCATTTTGTTTATTTTTTAAAAACTGAGGAAAAGATAGCTTGGCTGATTTTCGACTGACTGGCCCATGATGATACCTAACCAAGTAGTTCCGAGGGATGTCCTGGCACCCCCGTGAGGTTTCAGGAGTGCCGGGTCCAGGCCTGTTCGATGGCTGTGCTGGCTCCAGTTCCAGCTCCGCAAGGGTCTCTGAGCAGCAGACCTGGGGCTGGGCCTGTCAGCCAGAACTAGCCCCAGGAGAAGGCCAGGCTGCAGCAGGGCTGGGGGCGGACCAGAGAACCAGGGGACTCAGCACACGCAGCCCTCGGGCGCCCCAGGGCCAGGGCCGCAGACCCTGGGCCACGCCTCACCCGGGAATGATTTTGGGTACCTGAGGTGACTTTTTTCTTCCGTAATGCATGCCATCTTTATGAGTAAGGGATTTTCTAAAACAAAGAATAAGCCTCTATACCTTTAAAAACAAAACAACAACAACAAAAGGGAAAAGAAGGGATCCTATAAATAAAAGCACTCGGTATCTTCTAGAAGGAACTGCTGAATGTCAAATAAAGACAAGCTATCTTTTATGTTATTTTTTCAATATAACACAAAAACATCATTGCTTGACATCTATCAATTAATTTGTATATGCAATTACCCTCAATGCAATGAGTGCAGTGGACATGCATGAGGGCTACTGCAGCTGGGGGAGACGGCTCCTCCTGATGCGTCTAGCACTGCTGATAGGTCTCTAAACAAGCTGACTGTCCCGTGTCCCCACACAGAAAGGGTCTGGTTGCTCTGAGAAGCCTTTGTGTCAGGAACGACACTCGGCTTTTCCCTCGGAAGAAAACGCTCGGCCAGGTGCCAACACTCATGTCAATCATCACGTAATTCGTAAACCAAACTCCCCGCGTCCATTTCAGGCCCGTCTGTGCTTCATGCCTAACAGTTCACACAGGTGAAAATCTTTCATCTGGAAAAGGACAGGATGACGCAGACTGGAAAAGATACTTTCACAATAAAAACGCGTTTAAAAAAGTGGCTTTGTCGAATTACATCTGGATAAAATGGAACTTCCTTCTGTAATGGACCTAGGTTAGCAGGGTCCTCCTCACCCAGCCCACCGGCCTCAGCGCTTCCAGGGGAGGCCCCCGAGGTCGCAGTGCACACGGAGGGAAACCAGACTTGAAGGGGCTCTGAAGACAAATTCAATTCAAGCAAATAACACGAAATATATTAAGTGCTAAATTCTGTGGGTAACAGAATCAGTTGAGAGTAGTATAATTAAGAATAATCTTAAAAATGAATAGGTTTTAAAAAGTGTTCAAAATGAAAACGAAACAAACCAAAAACACTGTACTTGAAGGTGCTCTCCTGGTGCTGAAGGCTCTCAGTGGCATTTCCCAGGGGTGGCGGTTTTAATAGTGACACTGGAGATGTTTGGTGAACTTTCAGCCGTGGAGTGGCTCTCCGGAGCGGAGGTGCGATAAACTCTCACATCCTCTAAAAGTCGGCTCTATTTACGTGATGATTTCAAATTCTAGCCTCGGGTATCTAAGTGTGTATTGTGAGGAGATGATCAAGCCCAGACCTGCAAATACACAGATAACTGTTAGTCCCTTATGGTTAACAACTTGTAAACCTGAGTTTAAAGGGATAAAATCAGTTTCTTTACACACACACATATACACACATACACGCACTCCATCCAAAACACAGCATGTGCATGTCTTGGAAAATAAAACACTCTACTCTTAACAACTCAAAAGTGCTGTTTGGGCCTAACACCCACCCTCCCTTAGCTAACTGTCTGAAGGGCATCTGTGGCCTCCTACTGACTCTCAGACCGACAACTGAACCTGCCCCCTGTACCCACATGGGTGCTCTCTGGGTGCAGTAACTCGACTTTACTGATTGAGGCAATTGCTGCCTAGGAAGGTGAAGTCACGAATTGCTTGTTTTAGGAACTTAGCAAAAATAATTTTACTTTTTTATCCCACACACAGACTACTCAAGTATCCTCTTTAGAAGAGACCTGCTTCTCAGAAAAATTACACAGCATCAAATGACTACTCATTTTCAAGACCACCTTCAAAACCCCCTCCCCCCGCTTGTGTCCAGCAGTCTTAAACTCTCATGCCACACATCTGTCCAAGCCTCGTTAAGTCCCTCCATCAGAAGACCTGCCTTAAACCCCTAAAATTCAAATATCTGCCTTTGTTCTCCCCTTCTAAGATACTAAGACCATCCAGTTGGGGGACTTCCACACTGAGGTAAGCTCTGCTTTACAAACAGGCAACTTTAGTAGTATTTCTGGGGAGCCAACAAAGCCACGATCTTTTTGAGAATCTAAAAAAAAAAAAAGGCCATGAGGAGGCACTTCCCAGAAAAAGGCGCACATACAATCTGGCATACAACTTCAGGGACTTCAGGGGCCTCCCAGGGGTCTGTGGCCACAGAAGGACCCTGCACTTCTAGGAGGCGAGACTGGCAATCTGTGGTTTGTCAAAGGCTAGACTCAGAAGAGTCAGACTTTTAGGGTCAAAAGGAACCTTTTGGATCACCTAGCCCAACTATTCCCTCAACTACATGCTGATACATAGTTGTGTAATCTATGCTCGAACACCTGAGTGAATGGGGAACTACCTACCAGGCCACTCGTTCCTTCTGTGGCTGTGAGCAGAGCTCAGATTAGAGCTCCAGGTGGCTGTCTGGACCCATCCTGGCTCCCTCTGACTTCTGTTTTCAGCAAGGCCAGTCACTCCTCTTCTCACACACACAGTAAAGTAGGAGAACTCCTCTCTTACCCGTAGGGTGTGATCCCAGGACCCTGAGCAAAAAGCAGTCCCATCAGGGGAAACTCGGAGAGTACTGACACGGTTTTCATGTCCAAACAGGATGGAGACTCGAGACCCCTTGAGAACATCCCAGACATTGATGGTATAATCGTTGTATCCAGCAAACAGCAGGCGACCTGGAGGCAGGGTATGATGGTATGACGGTTATTAAACCAGTTCCTTCCTTCCTGCTTTTCTTTTCATGACACTCACCTGCTGGACTGCTCATTCATTCATTCATTCTTTGTTCATTCATTTAATAACCAGTGACTTAGTGCCCACTCTGTGTCAGGTACTGTGCTCTACCCTGGAGATTCAGAGAGGAGAGAGCACAGTTGCTCCCCCCTGTGGAGGGTGGTAGTGGCAGGTAGACAGATAAATCATTGTAGCGCCATGTGGTAAGGGCTATAGTGGAAGTGCTCAGTTGTGTGATACGTGCTATCACAGGGGAAGGATCAAGGAGGGCACTGTAGAGAAAGCGACATTTGAGTTGGTTCTTGAGGGCTGAATAGGAGTTTGCCATGCAGAGAAAGGAGAAAAGACGTTTCAGGCAGGAGGAGCAGCGTGCACGCACACAGGCTCAGATGCAGAGTGGGGGGTGGTGTCTGGGGACACTGAGTGGTCCAGTGACCTAGCGTACCAACGCTGCTTAATGTTCACTAGCAGCCTCTCCAGCTGGGAGGGCAGAGGTGCCATGAGCTTAGGGTACTGAGAAAGGGACCATGGCTTCACTCCTCCCACCTCTGAAAAAAGTCCTTTTTGGGGATGAAGAAGAGAATGGAAGGCTGGGGAGGAAATGCGTCAGCATTAATCCATCCCTCAATACCTGAAGAACAGTATTAACGGGCACAGCCTTCATTTCCCCTGAAGTGAACCGGGCTGAGCGAAGCCGCTGAGGGCAGGGTGAAGGGGGGGGGGTGGTGTCAAGGAGCCCAGTGGGGAAAATCTGGCACAGAAGTAGACCACTTAGCATACCGGCCCACAGGAACTTGGGCTGAGGGGCCGCTTGACAGGGAGCTGGGTTTCACTTAGGTCCTGTTTCACAGTCTTGGGAAAGTTTCTGAAATAAAATCTTACCACTGAGGGAGAAGTCCACGCTGGATGCTCCAAATATGATACTCTCTTTGGAATAGATGGCCACCTCCCTGTCTGCCCGGAGGTCGTAGAGGCGACACTGGGGGGGGGCAAACAACAGAGAAGCACGCACTTCTGGCCGCAGTTTGGTGAGGCGAAGACCACAGAGCCCCCGCCGGAGCCAATGGCTTGTGTGGTTGGAGAGGTAAGGGAACTACCCCTTTGCTTTTCTCTCCTAGTATTTTCTCCCTCAATCCCAATTTCTATTAATCTCCATGGATCAGTGGAGATTTAAAGAAACAGCAAATACAGATTTCTTTCTTTTACAGAAGATGGGTTTCAAATATAGAATGAAACCCATTTTTTTCTGATGAAGGATACATGTTAATTGTAGCAAATTCAGAAAAAGAAATGCATAAAAAAGAAAATGAAAGTTGTCCCAAATCCTAGAGGTATTGTCTAATATCTATGTCCTTCAGTCTTACTTCTATTTTATGTGTAATTTTCTCATATCATTAAATAATCTTAACCACCCCCCAGGATTAACATGCTTGTTGAATATTCTTCACATAGATACTGCAGAATCTATTTAGCCATCCTCTGTTAAGTGTTTTGCTTGTGTCTAATTTTTCTCTTTTGTAATAAAATTCTAGACATTTCTGTCTCTACCATGGTAATTATTCTTATGTAAAAATCCTTGATATTTTCCTTACAACAGCTAAGGAAAAGAAATCTTTAGAGTAGAATTCCAAGAAATAGCATGTCCAGGTCATAGGACAGAGATATTCTGGAAGTTCTCATGCCATACCACAACACTGCTTTCTAGAAGGCTGGTACCAAGGGTCCTGGTTCAGGCTTGCCCTGGGCCCCTTCCCCCCACCATCTGGGCCACTGAGCATTTCTCTGGCAATGGAGCATCTGACCACTGAAACTTGCATTTCTTGGATTAGAGATCACTTTGAAAACATTTTGAGTTTATCTGCCATTTTGGATGTACTGCTTTGTAAATGGTCTGCATTATATATATTTTTAATTATAATATTTATCTTATTGATTACACAGCCCCATTCATTCTTAAGGCTTTCAACTTGGTCTGTCATGCACACAGCAAGGATTTTTTCAACATGTATATGCTATATCTTGTTATACATTTTCTGACATAGAGAAGTTTTAAATTTTCATTATTATCAAACTCTCAATCTATTTCTTTGTAATTTCTTTCACAGTTGTAAGTCAGAATGAGAACCTTATTTAATACTTATTTGGTATCTTCAGAGTACAAGAAGGTACTTCTTATTCTCTTAAAAAATCAGTCAACAAAAGTTTTCAATTAGTATCAAAGGCCTTAAAACTAGTTCATTTCTGAGAATTAATTCTAAGTAAACAATGAGAGGTTCCAAAAATATTTATGTATAGCAGTGTTTTTAACAGAAAAAATAAAACATAAAACCTTGAAACCCTCAATGTCCCAAACTTGAAGACTAGTAAAAAGTAAGCGATGGCATGTCTACACCATGGGAAACTTCTCCATCATTAAGACAATATGATGTAGAAAAACATTTATTGGCATGGAAAAACGTTCACAATCTATTACTAAGTGGGAAAAAAAACCAAATTACAATGCACTTTTTTAAAAGAAAAGGGACAGAAATTCATGCAATTTTGATTTTCCTTGGGTAGGGAGATTAAGATAATTCAATCTTTCCCCCAATTTTTTTCATTGAATACACATTATTTTTGCGATCTGAAAAAAGGTATTTTAAAAAATAATCTGAAGTGAGCATATCTCTTTCAAACAGGAAAAGGTCCCGGTAACTCAGAAACATACCGTAGCGTCATCAGACCCTGAGGCGAAGGCATCTCCGCTTGGGTAGTACCTGCAGAGAGGAAGTTCGGGGAGAAAGCACTTTATTCAGGGCGGTGCCCCACTCCCGGATGCCCATCAGAGCCTGGGCCAGGCCCTCGGAAGCAGAATCTCCACTTCTAGCGTCATAAGGACCACTTGTCACACAGGCCAGGAAGAGAAGCTCATCTGGCAGACCCACAGGCCTCTGGTTTCTCCCCGGTAAATAGGGGACAGTGACACTGGCCTTGCAGAGTGTTGGCGGGGAGTAAATGAGATAAGATGGGTATCTCCACCAGACATGGAGCACAGGGCAGGTCCCTGTATCGCAGTTTTCCTCGACCACATGCCTCATTCCCAGGACTTGGCTCAGAGCTCAGGGATGAGCAAGTGGCCATACACACAGTCACTGGAGTCGCAGACACAGAGCCACATGCAGATCTCTGCACTGGCCACGCACTGCATGGGGTTCTTGTGGCAAGTGACTTCACCTTGCCCAGTCTCAGTGTCCTCATCTGAAAAGTGAGGGTGACAATGCACATTCCCTGTTGTCAAAATGACACAAGACAGTATGTGCGAAGGATGGGGCATAGTACCAAACAGAAAGCATTCAGCAAACGACGATTATTTCTGTCACAGTCATTCTCTTGTTGAGACCGGGTGGAAGACAGCCGTTAGAGGAAGAGGGTCCAGGGCAGAGGCAAAGCAGAGGGGAGAGAATGTGCATTTTTAACTATTTCATGAAAACATAAGGATTTGACTTAGTTCTGTGGATATTCTATCTTGTACCTTAGTAACTTCATTTACTATCTGTAGTAAATTCTGAGTTAATTTCCCTTGGTTTTCGGGGTAATTGCTGGACATTTGCAAAAAGCAATAGTCTTTCTCCTTTCACTTTATATCCTCTTTGAGCGCAGGGAGCTGGACAGTTCTTACTAACATTTCTACTACTAAAGTAATTAAGTCTTCTTCTTTTCTTCTTATTTTTAAGGGGAATGAGTCTAGTATTGCCCACTAAGCATAATGAAGATTCTTGGGTGATTATACTTTACATACATACTGTCTGGACAGTGCCATCTTCCAAATTTCTATGTCAAGTCCTGACCTCTGTCTTGGGATCCAGTTCATAGAGCCTGCATGTCATTTGTCCCTTTTCACGTCACCCTGTGGAACTGGGACTCAGGGAACCAGCATAAAAATGCTGATACTCTGGCTACTGCCACAGCTACGAGTCGTAAACTGTCCTTCATCTCTAACCCAAGGAGACTCGTGTCTTCTACCAGCATCCATGAAATTGTGGCAACCTAACTTGCAGCTTGTAGGATAGGTAAGATCTCAGAACATTCCCAATTCTAGACATTTCTGCCTCTACTATGTTTTCTTTAGCTCTAGCCGTCCTTTCTTGAGCTAATGCAACTACCTTCTACCTGGCTGCCACACTCCCATTCTCGCTCCCCCGACAACCTCTTCTCCTCCCAGCAGCCAGAGTGATCCTTTACAGGTGAAACATACAAGCTCTGCCTGGAAAAAGTCCAGCCATTGTTAATATAACAATAACAGTGTGCACGACATCGATAACCTGATGGCCAAGGAGAGTGAACTGGAATGCACATGCGTGAACAATGACAACTTCACTGTACTAGTCAATGGGTACAGTAGGTGCTGTTGAGTGAGCATGTGTGGCCATCACATTCAAAATGACTGAGCAAGTAGAGCAACAAATCTGCATCAAATTTTGTGTTAAGCTTGACCATTCCCCTGCAGAAACTATCTGGATGATTCAGAAGGCTTTCATGGATGACACAGTAAGTGCAGTACCAATAAAGATGTCACAAAGATGGTTGAGAATCTGTTGAGAGTGACCCACATTCTGGAAGGCCTGCAACAAGAGACCACCTGAGAATGTGGAATGCATACAGGCTGCAATCAATGAAGATCAGCAACTGACAGTGAGAGAACCAGAAGCTCATCTGGGGATTCCAAACTACTGTGTCTGAGATTTTGATGCAGGATCTTGGCATGAAATGTGTTGTGGCAAAGTTTGTTCCACAGCTTCTGCTACCAGAGCAGAAAGAACATTGTGCTGCAATTGCTAATAACTCGATTCAAACTGCTACCAGTGAACCAGATTTCCTCAAGAAGGTCATCACCAGAGATGAGTCGTGGGTCCGTGGCTGTGAGCTGGAAATGAAGGCCCAGTCGTCCCAATGGAAGTTGCCTAGTCCTCCATGCCTGAATAAGGTGTGGCAAAGTCGCAGCCAAGATCAAGACCATGTGAACTGTGTTTTTTGATTGGGAAGGTGTTGTCTATCATGAGTATGTCCCTCCAGGCCAAACAATTAACAAGGAGTACTACCTCAAGGTTCTTTGTCAGTTGAGAGATGTAATACAACAAAAATGGCCGCAGCTATGGGCAGCTGGTGACTGGCAGCTTCATCACGACCACACGCCTGTTCATGCATCATGTCTCATGCAGAGTTTTTTGGTGAAACATCAAATCACCCAGGTGACTCTGCCCTCCTATAGCCCAGATTTAGCACCCTGAAACTTCTGGCTTTTCCCAGAACTAAATCACGTTAGAAAGGAAGAGACTTCTGTCCATTGATGAGATTCAGGAAAATATGACTGGGCAGCTGATGGTGGTTCCAAGAAAGAATTCTGCTTCCACTGTTCAAAACAGTGGAAGAGACACTGGGAGAACTGTGTGAGGTCTCAAGGGGCCTACTTCAAAGGGGACTGAGACGTCACTGTTCTCTGTACACTGTTTCTTATATTTTCTTCAAGAAATGTTTTTTAATAGCGCATGGCTGGATACTTCCTGGACAGCCTCATAGCTCACATTAGCCACCTCTCTCCTCCGGACTCAACAATGTTGCCTTTTGTTAGGTTACTTCACACCTCACCTTCCCCAGCTCTTAGCAAGCCTGGCTCCTGTATCATCCTGGCCTCAAATTAAATATCATCTTCTCAGAGAGGTCTGACTGATCTAAGGAATGACCCATCCCATTAGATCTCCTTGTTTTACTGTTTTCCATAGCACTTAGCAGTTTCTTAAGTTAAATGGTACATTCGTTTCTTTGTGTGCTATCTTGTCTCCTACAGGAAAGCAGAGACCCTGTCATCCTGTTCACGACTGTATTTCCAGTTCCTGGAATGATGTCTAGCATATCAGTACTCAATACACATTTGTTGAATGAATGAATGAGGAATACTGACTCGATAGGGAGGGTGGTATCTTTGCCCCTAGCACAACCATACTAAAATTCTCCAAGAGATCTGGAGGGCCATTCTGTCCCACTGCAGATCAGCCCTTGTTGCTGGGGAGGCCTTGCTCTGCCAAGTAAACTGAGCCTGGAGGCGGTCCCTAGGCTCAGGAAAACGCCATGCCCGGGGGCACCAGAGAGCAGAGAAGCAGTGAGAACATCCTGCTCACTCACCGGACACTGTTGATGTCAGATTCATGTGTCTCAAAGGCCTGCACACACTGGCCGGAGCGCATGTCCCACACCATGGCTTTCTTGTCACATCCCTACAAATGCAAAGTTACCCAGAGTCATGGGCGCTGTAGGGACTGTCTACAGACAGGCATGAGTTCCAGTCATGTGACATAAACGGTTTATGTCCCACTAGTAAAGGGCTGACAACATGCTATTCGGAAACTAGCTTTACTTAAGGCTGCTTTCCTCAACTACTGAGTCCTCAGAAGGCCAGAGTGGGAGGGGAACGAGGGACAGATGCAGCTTCCTCCGGTACTGTGTTCTCTTCTTTGGCGGCTTTCTGAGTAGCTACAAACTCTCCGGAGCCTACTTCTTACCTTCCCATGGGCACTGCCATCTCTTCATTTCCCCTTTTCCTTCCTCCTACCTTTTTATCTCTGCCTCTCTAAGCCCAGAGGGGAGGGCAGGCAGACAGTGGCTGCTGGGTGGGACCTCCCAGCTTTTCCTCAGGTGTCTGGGGCAGCCCAGGGCACAGGGGGTGCTGTAGGTGCCCCGGGGCCATCTGCACCTCAGCAGCATGCCGGGCTGGGAATTGGCTAAGTGGGAGCTCAGGCATGGGCCTGCCAGCAGTTAGCTGGTTGCCTGGGCAGTTGCCTCCCTAGGCTTCCAGCTCAAGACCTGTAAAGCCTGGAGATTCATAAAAATGAGAACCTCATGTTATACTCTCATCGTTCTAGGAGCATTTTGGTAAGTTCCCACAGAGCAATCCTGTCGTCATGGTTGAAGACTATGATGTGGCATCACAGGTCAGGGGCAGAATGGGAGGCCCTCACAGCCCAGTGCTGTCACCACCCTCCGAGCACCACCGTGGCTGTGGGAGCTGGGCAGCAGCAGGGAGCTGAGGAGCCCCTGCAACCCCTTCTGAAGGGATGTGTCCCATCCAGTCCCAGGAAGTGCCACCAATGGCTCTCACAGGCCCCCCTGGTGGACGAAGGACCCTCAACGTTTTCCTCAAGCCTTTACCCCAGACACGAAGGTGTTCCCTGTTTCCGAGGGGGCCAGGTCCAAGCAGAGCACGTCGGCCCCGTGCCCATGGAAGCTCTGCAGCAGCTGCCCGCTCTCCACGTCCCACAGGGCACATGTCCCATCGCCGCTGGCCGTCAGGATCTGCCACAGGAAAGGACACTGTTGTCATGACCTCACTTCTGTCAGGGCAAGTCCGTCAGGGAAAAGAAGGCTCCTCAAACATACAGGCACACGCCTCACTGCATCTGGGTCCAGGTGCATTAGTGTTTCTCCCATACTGAGCAAGAAGTCCATGTCCGATGGCCCGATGCTCAGCTGTGTTTCTGTCCTGTCCTCCTCCAGGGTATGAAATCTGCGAGGTTTCCCTGCTGCGCCCGCAGGGCCTGCACCTGTCTGGCCCACCGGACGTGCTCGGGGAGCCTCTGCTGAGCAGAGCTGCACCCACCGCTGTGCAGGCCAGAGGCCTGAAGTGCTTCTCAGACGTGACTGAGCACCCCCGTCACCCAGCTGCTGGCTAATTTGGAGTTGGGGTGAGTCCTGAGATTCTGTAGTTCTCATGAACTCCCAGGTGGTGCCAATGCCGACCACTGGACTCCATCTGGGGCAGCAAGGGTTGAGGCAGCATTTTGTTGGCCACATTCTCCTATTGCTGTTTCTTCCCAGACCAGGGAGCTGCCCAGAGGCTCCCCAGGGCCACAGACATGCGCTGATCCGCACGCATGCACACACGCATGTGCGTACAGTGCCAGGAGCACCTGCTGTGTGCCAATGGCGTCTAGGTGCTCTGCTGGGCATTAGGATTAGCAGAAAAATTGGATCTTGGTCTCTACTCTCCTGGGCTCACTCAGTTTAACAGGACTGGCAGTAAAAACCGAAACTAACCTACTCCCACGTCCCCATGTTAATCAGTTCCAGGACCAGGCATACTTTTCTTGTCCTATGCTAAACAATACTGCAGCTAAGTAAAAATAACCTACCAGCTTGCTCTAGGAGATACCTGCTCCTGCAAAGTGAGCCTGTCAATCAGCTAAACAACTTATCAAGACTAACAGCTTGCTCATCAAGACTGGCTATAAGACCCTTGCCTTGCTGGGCTCACCAATCCAAAGCTATTATGTCATCAACCAGTTTCCCACAGTGACGGATCCACCTTAAAATCATCCAGCCAAGTCCCTGAAACCCTCCAAGTATCCTTCCCTGATTTCTCCACTTTGGGACACTCTAGAGATTCTCAAGTTGGAGTTCTCTCCCCCACTGCAGTAGATCTAAGTGTTGTTGAATGGCAAGTTTTTCTGATGGTCTTGTAGATAAGACAATGACACCTAGGACAGAGTGTGAGAGGTGATGCAATACAGGCAGGCCCAGGGGAGGGGCAGCAACATCTGAGCTGGTCTCAGAGGGTGAGCGAGAGCTGGCCGGGGAATGAGGGAGGGCCCTGCGAGTGACCGCCTGCATCTGCACTGAGTGAAAGGCCGGCCTGTGCAGGGTGAAGACCGTAGCCTGTAGACAAAAACAAGCTATGGAAGCTTCCCAGCAGAATGGTAAGAGCAAGGATATATTTTTGGAGAATCTGTCAGGTCAGTGCAGTTATTCCTCGGCAGCCTCTATAGCTTTCAAGTAAAGACCAGCCCACACCAGGGGAGGAACACTGGGGAGCCTGGGACAGGCACAGGGCCAAGCCCGTGTGTGTGAGGCCTGGCCTCCGGCTAGGTGTACCCCGTGGGGTTGTGGGGGAGGCACCGGGGACCCAGGGTTGATGGGCTCAGAGACCCAGCTGCCTGCGCTGCAGCATCTGGGAGCCAGCCTGGTCATAGGAAGCCATGGAGGGAACCGCGGGCCATGGCAGAACCTCCCTGCGCCCCACCTTCCGGCTGCTCCCAGGGCCTGGATGAGGTGATAAAACAGTACAGGAAGTGGCTCTGGCAATGTTAAGTGCCCACAACAGACAGCCCTCAGTGGCTGATAATTACTGATGGCTGAGAAAAGAAAACAGGAATCCGGTCTTAAGGACGGCTAGCATGCAATGCACCCACTGACTGCCGCACTTCCAATTTCCATGTGCTGGTGGTCCTCTCCCCCCCCAAGCCCCCGATCCCTCTCCCTCCTGCCTAGTCTCTCCCTTCTCTCTTGCATGCCACTCCTAGCACTTACAAAGACTCTTCTTTCCTCTGCAGGGAGGGAACACATTATAAAGCGGGGACCCTGCTCCCCCACTAGCCTTGCATCCACCAGCTGCACTGTCTCCACACGGGTTTCTCGCTGGGAAGCCTGGAGAGGCCTAGGACCTCTTCACAGCCGGTGAAGACTGAGGCCACTTTGGAGCCTCTCCCTGGAGCAAGAGCTGGGTGAGTTCTGGAGCTCTCAGGCTTCTTGGGCCTAGTCCCCAAGGTCCTCCTCCAAGTCCCCACTAGGGTGGCTCTCAAATTTGGGGCATTCCCAAGGCTGCAAAGCCCCTGCAGTGTCAGCTTCCCTCAAGTGTACGTTGGACGGGGTGAGCAAGGCTGGTAAAAGTAGCTTAGGAACACACAAGACTTCGATAACATCTTAATTTGGGTACTTAGATTTGTAATGTGCTGCAGGTTCCTCCGGGCTCTGCAGGCCCATGCCCACTAGTGCCCCTGCCCACTAGTGCCCGCCCCACGCCCTTCCTGTCCTGACACTGGCGAAGGGTCAACAACCTCCAATCTTTTCTGGGATGCTTTCAATGATTACCACAGACTAACTCTTGAAGCGAACTAATGAATAGTTTTTAAAAGTTAAAAGTAAATCTTTAATATTTTAACAATACTGTTGTGATCTTCATTACAATGTAATCTCATAAATAAATTTTAAAGACCAAACATTCATGAAAAAAAATGCACTGAACAGAACGTCTGACTCTTGTCTGAGGTGTCACTTGTCTACTCAGGAGCGTGAAGAACGTGTAGGTTCATTGCCACCGTCTCACACCAGCCACGTGAGGCTTTCTTTTTCATCCTCCCTCCCAGAGGTGCGAGGAAGCTTAAGGTTCATTAGTTCATTGGTACCCAAACCAGGTGCAACTGAATTTTTCTGCTAATATTAATAAAACAGTAAGAGCCAACACTTACTGATAATTTATCAGGGACTGTATGTATGAAGTATTTACATGAGTCACCTGATTTAATTCTCAGAAAACCTTATGACAGAGGAATTTATCACCATCCTCACTTGCAGGTGAGAGAAATAAAACACAGAATACAAACCTGCTTAGGACGCACCAGGTAGAACGTGGTGGGCCCAGATTTGGTCTCAGCTGTCTGACTCTGAGCCAAGACCTGTGCCCTGCTGAGGTGGCCGGCATCGTCAGTGGGACTTCCCTCCATTCTCCAGCTGTCTCCTTCTAGCTGCTTGTTAGGAAAAATCCACTTTCTACCTTACTGATGCCCCTTTAGTGCCCACCTCCAGCAGGTGGCCACACAGAGAGGGTGATGGGTCTCCACCAGAGACTCTTCAGATGCCTGACCACCCACGGTCCCAGCATCCCTCTGTGGCTTCCTTCTTCCAGACTAAGCACCCTCTCTTGCTTTGGCTACTTCTCAGGCTCAAAGGCACCTGGTTCTGGCCACTGCAGCCAGCTGGGGCCACAGTGCCCCCTGCTGTACAGGTCTACAAGGCTCCTGGCCTCAAATACCAGGCGTAAACACTATACTTCAAGTCTGAACAATCCTCTTGTCAGCAATTAAAAAACGACCCAGTCACCTGGCCTCCCGGCTGCCAGCCTCTCTTGCTGACATGAGTCAGCTGAAGCCCGAGTGGGCCATGGAAGGACTTAATCTGACTCAGAGATGTTCCTCCTTAAAACAAACTCAAATATGAGCCAGCCCCTGCAAGGCTGCCCTCTACCTGCAGGGCATTCGAGGCGACCCCTTCTCGAGCTGCTTTCCACTGTGCTCCCCTCACGCCTCACTGGCGACACCCACGCCCTCCAAGGCTGGCCCAGACCACTCCACCAAGTTTGTGACCACCCCTCCTGCTCCAAGCTCCCAGCCTCCCCCACTGTGCAGTCACAACTGGTTTCCACAAAGGTCCCCGTGGGCAGAGACTGTGTGAGTTTCCAGTCCCAGAGCCAGGGAGCATCCGGCAATGTGGGCGGCAGACACCCAGGAAGGTGTGCTGAATAGACGTGGATAAATAAACTGTGGAATGCTTTCCCAAATTACTAAGAAAACGTAGTCCAGGTGTTATCAAAGTACTGTTTTTACTTGGGGTTTACCTAACGTGGGGCACAGATCTACTCTCTAAAGCTTCTTCTTTTTGCATCTGTTGAAACAGGAGTGTCAAGCAGATTCAGCGAGGTGTGCAAAGTGCGCTACCGTGAAGCTCAGCGGCTTGGTGAAGTCTCACACACGTACATACACTGGAGCCACGGCTCAGACTGGGAGATGGGAATGCCCACCACCCCGGCAGGTCCCCTGACCCACCCCCAACAGTCAGGTAGAGAAGGATGCTCAGTGGGGAATGCGGTTTACCTCAACTACATCAATAGCCGAGAGCCCCAACTTCAAGCATTTCTGATTTTACTTAGAATAATAATAACAATAACCAAAGAGGAATAGGAACTTCCTCTAGAGCACCCCTCCTGTTAAAAGGACACTGGAAAAGTTTCTTCTGTTCTCCCTGAGTGATCCACCAGGTACCCTGCCCTCTAGCAGGCTGACCCCCCGGGAGGGCCCCTCAAGTACCTGCATGTCTGAGTTGGTGAAGCTGCAGGCCGACAGGTAGTTGGTGTGCATAGCAACAGACTTCTTTTTGGCAGCCATGTTTTCATTTTTGTCGAATGTCAGTGGGTACACGGAACACTTATTATCTAAGCCACTAGCATGGAGAGAAAGAAGTGTCAGATGCTGAGACAGGGCAACAGAGCACCTATATGCATGCGTCCTCAGAGTCACACACTGTGGCTGGGATGGGGTAATGCTGGCTGTGACTCCAGGATTCTTAGGTGTGAAATCACTAGATCGAAGGTTACAAATTTTTCAAAGTTTTTGATACACAACATGATTACCAACATGCTTTCCAAAATGTTTGCACCAATTTACAGTCCTCACCACCAGCATTTGAGAGTGAGGGGAATAGGTTTAAAGCTTATGCTACTGTTGGTCTGTAATGAAAATAATTATGAAGTGATTTTTGTGCCTTTTTTCTTTAACAAAGTTCAGAGAGGAATGTAACGCACAGCTTAACAAGCCAACGACACAATCGCACGTTCTGGTTTGCTTGCATGTTCCTGCCTGTGCAACGGTGTCTGTGGCTCACGGGGAATCTAGAAAAGCCACTGCGGGCTGTGCTTACCCACACGCGATGGCGCATCCCGATGGGGCGTAGGCACACGCCATCACCCACGTGCAGGGCATGGTGACCGCGTGCTCCTGAAACACAGGACGGACCGTTCACAGGATAAAAGAGGGTGGCTTCTGCGCGAACATCTTAACATGCAACTTAAACAGAGTCGCTGGCGATCTTACTGAATCACATTACAGCTTCAAAGGCAGTGGGGTGGGTGACAATTAGCTTGAGACCTTCGAGAAGACTCACTCGGCCCCATATGGTCAACCTAATGGTTTATTATTTATTCTAAAAGTTTAAAATCTCGACTCGCAAAAAAATCCTTAATGTTTTACTTCTTTCTTAATGTTATACCCCCTCTCCCGCCCCTTGTTCTTCTGAACAAATACTGGGGCTCCTTCTATTTGAAAGGTTCATCAAAATTTCAGTTTCGATATATACATCGCCTTATCTACTCTGATTCCCCCTATTTTCAAAATATATTCTTGAATGACATTTTACATGCAGGTTATCAGTTTGTTTACTTGTGCGTGTACAGAGCCTCTGTCCACTATGGGTCCCAGAACCAGTCCTGGGAAGGCATGGATGGGGGCAAGGAGGGTGAGCTTGAGTTCTGCTCTGGGATGAGAGAGAGCCTGTAAAATGGAGGCATAGAGAACCAGGCCCAACAGTCCCTGGCTTCCAGGTGGTGGTCGAGTCACCCACATCCTGCTGCGTGCAGATAAGCAAACAACAAAGCCACCACCCAACACTTTGGTTCCAACACCAACAAGAAGTGCAACCCCGCAAACCAGCCATCGTACTCACTCAGTCTCCCTCTCCATCTGTAAAGGGAGGGAATGGGGCTAGATCTGCACAGGACACATTCAAGTGCCACTGGTCCTTCCTGGTAGGATTCTGTCTCTCTGTGTTTTTGTGGGGAAATAGGGGCCCGCAACTGCCTGTCAAAATTCCGTTGTCATTCACAGTCTTTCTAAGGCCAAGAATAACCTACTGTCCTCCAGTGAATGAGGTGGGCCGGCCACTCTCTCAGCACAGGGCGTCCAGGCCCCTTTCCTCACAAGTGATGGCTATGTTCCCTGCCAGGGCCCACTCGTGGCGACTCCAGGGGTCCCTGGAAATCAGGCAGCGTGTGCTCTAGGCCACATTAAGGCATAAACCATTGCTTAGGAGCACTGGGTGAGGCAGAGTCTTCCGGGGAGGAAGGCGATGTATAATAAAACTCTTTGCAAACAGTTAGTTGTCACTTTTATCACTGCCCGGGGGCCTGACCATTAGGGACTTGCTCCCATACAAGGAGGTTCTGTGGCCTCGCTTGATCAGGCCGAGCCACAGCTGCCTGCCATGACATCTACTCAGCGCATTCGGGGAAGCAGATACTGACACTGCTCAATTTGTGACAGATAGAGGTCTTTTTTTTTATTATTTTATCCTCATCCAAGGACATTTCCTCGTTGCTTTTTAGAGTGAGAGGAAGGGAGACAGGAAGGGAGAGAGAGAAGCACTGACGTGAGAGAGACAAATCAATTCGTTGCCTCCCATTCACATCTGGACCCGGGATCGAACCCACAAACCCTTCGGTTACAGGACGATGCTCCAACCACCTGAGCCACACTGGTCAGGGCCAGGTCTCCTTTTTAGTATCATGAAAAGGAGACTTTCTTTCTAGGTAAATATTGGAATCCGTATTTAATACACAATACCCATTATTGTAAACGCCAACATGATGTAGGCATGAACACATCTACACAGACATTTCAGTTTTTCTCCTCAGTCAAGAGTCTAAATTTAGGTCTAACTTGGAGCTGTGCATGCTCAGGCCAGGGCTGCAAGGGGCTCAGACTCCACGGCGTCCCCAGCGGTGCGGGTTAACCCCCTGCAGCCTCGGCTTCACCCCGTTTGCTCACGTCCACAGCACTCTGGAGTCTGGGCAAAGCCGGGGGAACGAAAGCTGGGGATATGGCTGCCTCTCACCATCACTCAGAGGAAGGATACACGCAGCTGCCTGTGTGAACGTGACCGGTTCTCCAGGCCATGCCCTTCCCTGTCTTAGTCCGTTCTGTGGTGGCTCTGATGCTCCTGTCTGGGCTGCAGGGCTGTCTTACCACAGATGGGCTCTTGTGGGGTTTTCATTTCCAGGCATGCTCCCCCAGAGGAAGTGAGGACGGGGCTGGGGTTTTGAGGTGTCTCGGGGCGCTGGGGACGAAGCCTTACCTTGTTAGTTGTGAAGGAATCCCACACGATCACCTTCCCGTCCTGGAGGGAAAAGAGTGGACCGTTCAGGAGGTGTCAGCAAGCCCGCTTTCACTGTGACCACTGCGGCAGCCCACAGTCATCTCGTTGTAATGCAAACCCACCAGAGAGAAATCCAGGAGCTCTGGACTCTGCAACACAGTCACTCGTGCAGACGTGGTGTGCGGGTCCCTGGGCCCCAGGGTCTGGGTGACAGTGGCAGAGGATGGCTGAGCTGCCTTCCTTCAGCACACGGGTCCCCCAGGCATCCTCAGAGATGGTGACCCTGCAGCCTCTGGGGCCGGCTCGATTTTCTATAAATCACTCAAGCCATTTGGAGCCAAGTCTGGTGAATGAGGTGACTGAGGAAAGGTGCAGGGAGGCGGGTAATGCTGCTCAGGAACACGAGCAAAGTCTGATTATCTAAAATGGCACAGCTGCTGGCTTCGCATGATCAGATGGAAGACTTCCACAGTCATGCTGAGTGTGGCTGAGGGGCCCTGAAACAAGGTCAAAGTCGACAGTTTCAGGCCTTGCAACATTCCTAAGTACACTGGTTCTTCTGGCCAAATTTCTCTTGCTAAACTCCCAAACACGATGCAGGGGGTGAGCTAACAAGCTCATGGGCTCCTCCAGGCCTGAAGCCCCCGCTTGCCAGGCGTGCGAGCTGACTCAGCGCACAGCCTCCCCAGGAGCCACTTGGGTGGCTTCCTCCACGGCACTGCCTGCCTGTCCTCATGGCCCACCCACTGTGCACCCAGAGAGAAAAGGGCACCAAAGAGGCTAAAATCAGTCTGATAACACTGAACATGTCCCCTCTGTGAGCACAGTTTATACAGCAGGAGCTCAGGGACCTGGGGAGTCTGACCCTAACCCGCTGTCGTGGGGCTGATTAATCTCCTGCCGCTGAGGGAGAAGGGCTGCTCTGAGTCACTCCAAGGCTGCGCCAGAGCCTCCGGGCCTCCAGCTCCTGCCCACGCCCCGCCCTCTCTGCAGCCGAGAGGGGAGGGATGGAGCTAGTCACCCTCCTCCCTTCTCTCCCTCCCTAACCAGAGTGCACATGAGTGACAGAAGTCCAACACATATTGCGCTTTTAAGGATAAACATGTCTAAAAGGCTAGGCAGCGACATGTACATCTCAATAACCACTCTGTAAAAATGAGCATTTAAAAAACCGTCTAGAAAGACACGCTCGAAAATAAAAATAATGACTGTGATGGGTGGTGGGAGTAACACCTTTTCTGTGCTCTCTTTTCCAGCGTTTCTTCAATGTGGTAAAATACCAAAGTGAAAACTGTTTTACGAACATAAAAAAAGCCAGTGCTACATGGCATTCTAGATTTGTAGCTCATGCAGGATATTAATAACAGTTGTCCTATCAAACACGCCACTGACACAGATATTAGAGCTGCGGATGTACAGTTTTTATATTTAAAAGTTAACTTAAAAAAACCCAAATTGTCTTCTGAAAAAGCTGGGATGAAGGCAGGTGTGAAGGCAAGCCCAAACCAGCTATAAAAACACATGACTCCAGTTTATAGTTGTGTGTTCAATGCATGTAACATCAATATAAACATAGAAATACTAAGCGGTGGTTGCCGGGCTCCAAGAGGGTCCCCAGGTACCCCAGTCTCCTGATCCCCACACCCTTGTATGGGCTCCTCCCTCATCACGCCAGGGATGGTCATGTGACCAATGGAATACAGGGCAGTGATGGACCGTCACCTGGGAGGCCAGGTCACAGAAGTCCTGGCCACAGGAGCACGGCTTCTGCTACCATCCCCCTCTCTTAGATCAGCTGCTCTGGGGGAGGCAGCTACTGTGTCCAGAGCAGCCCTGAGCAAAGGTCTGCTTGGTGCAGAGCTACCCCCAGCCCCCAGCCCCCAGCCGTGTGGGTGCGCCCTCAGAGGGGTGCATCTCTGCCTAAGTCGAGCTGTCACATGATAGTCTGGGCCAACATCTTGACCTTGGCCTCGTGACAGACCTTGAGCCAGAACCACCCAGCGAGGCTTCTCAGGACTCCTGACTCTCAGAAACCACATGGCATCCTAAATCTGGGGGCAATCTGTCATGCAGCAATAGGTAACTAACCCATAAGATGTAAAATAAACTATGTCAACTGTGTAAAATGAATGAAAAATTAGACTTCACAAAATATTTATCTTAAATTTGTTCTTTAAGGGCTAAAAATGGCTAAACTCTTAAAATGAAAGAAGCTGTGGGGGCTTCTCAACCACTTCTGCCCTCAATTTGGGGAAAAAAACCCCACTGTTTTAAAGTTGATCTCATTCACAAAGGAGAGCATGAAATATGCTCAGGAAGAAATGATTTTAAATGGTGTGTCAATCAGACTTCACAATGTTTCAGTATTACCAATTCCAAATCTGCCCACATTAGCGAAGCCCTCAGCATAAAAGGGAATTCTCGGCCATGCTAAACTCAGGTCCTTTGCAGGGTGAGCAGAGCCATAAAGAGCGGAAAGGGGCTTTCGGAAAGGACAGCTCTTGTCCCCTTTAAGCTATGAAACTGGAGAGCTGCTGGTCCTCACGCGACAGGTGCGACGTACCTGTGACGAGCTCACCATCCTCCTCTTATCTTTGCACCAGTCCATGCAGAGAACTTTGTTCCCGTGGCCTTTGAGGGTCCTTCTGGTCTTCATGACAAACTGCCCCAGGGCCTCCACCCGCTCCGCCACCTGGTGCACTAGAAGGACAGGGCCGCAGTCAGTCTGTCACCCAGGGCCGGGCTCTGGGCCAAATGCCAGCACAGGGGACCCTGGGCTTTCCCTGCAGTGCAGCTCGGGTCTCTGGTTGCTACCGGGCCCTTGCAACGCTCTCTCTTTAGGCTCAGCAGAGGGTAGAGACCACGCTGTCATTCTCTCTGTTTTTCAAACCACTGCCATCCAGGCATGTTGAGGGACTAACCACAAGACCAGCTGTGTTGGTGAAGCACCGTATGGAATTCTCCGGTCGAAGGGCCACAGCTCTGCACGGCGGGCAGTGTGGCAGCAACGCAAGTGCTACCCCACTTCCCAGGCGAGGAGATGGGGGCTCCCAGGGGGGATCTGGCTCATGCTAGTTCATACCGCTAACCAGGAGCAGAGCTGGAGCTTCTGGTTCTTCTATCTGTCACTTTTTAGTCACAAGGACAAGTGACTTCACGAAAACTGTCCCGGCAGGTGCCACAGTGTGCACACACGCTGCTCTAGGGCAGGCACTGTGACCCCTAACTGATCCCCGTATGTCTAGCACAGGCCTGGGGCACAGAAGATGATCCATTCACATGCTGCAGAAGAGAATGAATGAGCAAACCACCAACCAGCGCACCTGTGGGTTTACTGAAAACGTACAGACTCTGTGGTTAAAGCCCTGTGCCCACCACCCCTTCTAGGGAAACCCCTCCTTCCCTTTCCTCAAACACTCCAGGATGTACTTCCTAAAAACAAGGAACTCTTACATAACCACAGTACAATTACCGCAGTCAGAAAATTCACACTGAAACATAACCCCGTCTAATCTACAGATGTCACTGAGATCCTCTCTACTGCCCCAACAACGTCATTATAGCAAAAGAAACCCCGAGATCCTGTGTGGCGCTCAGTTTCCATGTGTCTCTAGTCCCCGGCTATTCCGTGCCCTGGTCTGGGCCCGGCAGACGCTTCCTCAGGGTTAGGTCTGGGTGGCGTGTGTCTGGCAGGAGCACGACCAGCTGACGGTTAGTTCCCGTCAGTGTGACCCGTCAGGAGGAACCTGCCGGCATCACCTGGCTAAGGTGGCATCTGCCAGGTTCTCCACGACAGAGTTACCATTTTGCCTGTCATAATGAAAACGTATTTTGTGGGGATGGACTCTGAGACCACATAAATACCCTCTTACTCCTCAAACTTGAACACCCTGGTTATAACATCCATTAATGAATCTTGCCTGAAGCTGCTTTTTAGGATAATTTGTAAGTGGTGATTTTTTTTTTTTTTGGCTAAATGGAAGAGAAAGACCTAATTCGTGGGGGTGTTCTGAGTTTTAACTGGGAAAGCAGATTATCTGCCAGGCTAGGAATCAGAACTATCGAGTTGGGGGCTCGGGGCCGGGAATGAGAAAATCAGAAGGAACGTAACAGGGAGGAGAGAGAGCTTTTCAATGGAAGAGTCAGGAAAATGAGAGACAGTGTTTACGGTAGGAGGGGAGGGGAGAGAGAAAAGAGGTGATAGGCAGGTTTTTTCTTGATTTCTTCTGATGTAAATATAATTATAGAAGTGCATGCCCAATGAAAATAATCAGAAAATAGAAACATATGATCAGTTACAACTCTGCTTAGCCCAACCACTCTTAACATCTGATATGTGTACCGTATTTTGCTGTCCATAATGTGCACTTTTTTGCCTAAATTTCTGAGGGAAAAATAAGGACGCATATTATTCATAGGTAGTACCTAAAATATTTTGTATCTGTTCTTGTGTTTCATAATTATTTGTTACATAAAACTTATTGTACCATAATATGTTAGAAAATAAGCACTAAAATTGCTTTATAATACAAAACCTGATAATCTATAAGAAAGAAAGGAAGGGAGGAAGGGAGGAAGGAAGAAAAAAAGAAAGAAAGAAAATTGAGTTAAAAGTTAAAACAAAAGATGTTTTCCCTGAAAGTCTGGGCCAAAAATGTGGGTGTGTATCAAGCACGGGAGTGCATTATACATAGCAAGATATGGCGTATGCTTCCCGATTTTTCTGTGTGTGTGTACATGTGCATACATGTGTAAGCAGATGACACTCCACGTATAATTTGGGGGACCTGTTTTCTCACCTGATACATTTGTAGATATCTTTTCCTGTCAACTGTGGTTATCGGTCATTGTAAATAACTGCACAACATCTACCTCATGGAGGCGTCAGAACCCAAACACGCCCTGCTGGCTGGCCCTGGGCTCCGGGCTGCCAGCAGGGCCCTGTCCAGCTTCGGTCCTTAGACAAACTCCAATCTGTGGCATCGCTGAGTCAAAGGGCAAGCACATTTTTAAAGGCTTTCCACACATGTTGTCATCACCCACCATGCACTTCCTGTCTCCTGGGTGACCGGTGCTGGGCTGAGACACTTACACACAGCCTGAGGACAGAGGCTTCCTCCCTATTTCTACAGAAGAGGAAACAGTCTTGGAGATGCTAAGACCCAACGCACATGCACTCTGACCCCTAAGAACAGATAACACCCCACAGGAGGGTAAGCTCTGGGCAGGTGGCTGGAATTCTTTAGACAATCAAGAATTCGGTGAGGCAGTGACAATGGCTTCTCAGTCCACGAGACACCCCAAGCTTGGAGCCCCCACACTTCTCGATGGGTCAGTTAGGGATTCGAATCCAGGAGTCAAGAAACCCGCGCTGCTCCTGGCTCAGCCACCAGCTGACCAAGAGAGTGATGGAAAGCTCCAGGCAGAAGAGACTGACTCAACAAGCAATGTGCACCGTCCCTGGGCAGGGACCATAGGTACGGGGCTGATTCCGCCTGCTGGGGCCTGGCAGTTGGGTGGGGCAGCGACTTCCAGGTTTGAGATGTAGAAGGTCCCCTCCCTCGTCCTCTCCTACTCCCTCTCACTACAAAATCTTACCAGAAGCTCGTTACAGAAGATGGAGCTGAGCTGAGCTGGTGAATGGTCGGCGAAAAATGCTGGGCTCAGAGTCCCAGCTCTCTGTTCACTGTGCCCCTCGCCCACTGGCCCCCAGTGTCCATACAGCAAGCGAGCTGCACCGCTTGCTGGAGGAAAACGGGGCCTGAGGGCAGAGCACGGCTCACAAGCTAGTGGTGAACAGTGTCCCCTCTGGGCCTGTGCCCTGCTCCCTGAAAGAGTTTAGAAATCGCCCAGAACTCCAGTTTCGGGCAAAGATCGATCTTTCATCAAGGTAGGGCCTCCTCTCAGCTTTCGGGGAGTAGTTTTGCTATTTCTTTTATAATCTGTGCACACACGACTTTAAAGGACAGTGTGTAGTAGGCAGGTCAGTACACAAGATTTCACGCCTTGTGAGTTGTCATCGGGTGAAAACACACAATGGGCCTTCCTGTCACTCCACAGGCCATAAAAACGACGGCCTGGGCAGGGACGAGCTCCAACATCTCCCTGGAAATGAGCGTTATGAAACTGATTATAAATACTGAATGGATCAAAGACAAACGAGCTGTCTGAAGTAGGGAAAGAGAACTATTATAAAAACGATCTTGAATCACTTTCTAAATTTTCTACCAATATATAGTCTTTGGACGGTCCTTATTTGGTAGATCAAAAGAATCCAGGAAAGAAAAATCACACAAAATTGATTTTCAAAAGCTCATTCTGATCGAATAGGATGGGGTGCACATGAACCCTCTGACCCCAGGATGGACAGAAAATATCTCCACTCCTGTTACCTCCCTGTGTCTGTCACAGGTTTTTGGATTCCCTTAAAACCAATGCATTCACCACACTCAAATAAAAAATTAAATTAAATAAAGTAAAATCCCACCCTGAATTCCCTACTGGAAAGCCGGAAGGGTTAAACTCTGGTGCAGCATGTAAGACAGGACACTGTGGAGAACACCATCTGCACTCTGCTTCCCAGCCCCCATGCTGACACCTTTTCTCTCGCTCTCTAACTACACACACACACACACACACACACACACACACACAAATTTACTTAATGCTGACGTTAGAAAGAGCCGTACCTCACATGGGGGCTCATCAATCCATTGTGTTCAGTTAAAACTGGACTCCCACTCTGTCCCCAGTACAGTCCCAAGCATGTGGATAAATGTACACACGAATATAAAAACATAAGCTATGAAACACATGAAAATATTAAAGGTGGCTACCCCTGGGCGGTACAGGTATGGGTGGCTTGCTTTCATATTTCTAAATTTGCTACAGGGCATTCGTTTACTACCATGTGTTTTAGAGACACTGCGCTGGCCGGCTTGTGTGCACCAGAATGCAGAAAGAAAGGGAGGGAGAGGAAATGAAAGGAGGTTTGCTTTCTGCCTCTTGGACGGCTGCAGGCGGTACAGTGAAGAACAGCTGGGAAGAGTACAGTTTCCTCTGCAAGGAAAACTCACTTCTACACACTCAGTACACGCAGCGTATCTCCTTATTTCCATTCACATGGAAAAAGTGAATCAACACATCTGCTTCAAACTAACCCAGAAATTCGGTTTTCCCAGAATTCTCTCTACACCGTAAAATCAGAATCATCCAAAGCTCCAGCCATGAAGTCTGTTGGAAAACTGACCAACCTCTCAACTTTAACAAGCCAATGAAGCCACTTTCACAGGTTGCGGCTGCCATCCCAGAGGACCTGCTTTGCATGTCTTGTGTCCCAAACCAAACCTCCGAATGTCAAAGCAGGGCCAAGTGACCTGTGGACGGAGCCTAAAGCGACACTGTGCCCCCAAAGAACTGTTTGCAAAGATGACAAGTGGCTACTGTGACTCCTGGACTGCTGACAACCGGACTGAAAATTAAAACTGTCTAGAATGAAGATCACAGCGTTCTATCATCTGCATCAATGACAAGGTCCCCCTCCTGCTGATGTCACTGTCCCCTTCCTGTTCTCAGAAACACCCCGTTCCTCTGCCTCCTAATCAAAATGTTATGTGAGCTGCTGCCTGGATCAGAGCTTCCCAAGTAGCTGTTCGTATTGATCTCAAATAAATGCTTGTTGCCTCTCTCTTTGAAAGGCCTTTTTATTTTTAGGTTAACAAGGCCTTGAGAATAGAACCTTTCATAAAGCTAAAGTTAGAACAGATGGAAAAATGAACAGCATCTGATGGTATATCTTGTGGTTTGCCCAAATTTCCTCTGGGTTTGTACTTACAGAAATTACACATATCTCCTTTGCGCCGCTTCCTAGACAGTGTTCGCGCTCCTCCCCCCAGGGGAAGTGGGGGGTCCGAGTGATGCCCCACCCGGCCTCAGGGGGCTGCCACCCAGTGGACTGAAATGGACCCTGCACCTTCCCCACCCTGCCTACACATGCAGCCTGTCTTCTAGATCATTCCTCAGTTTAATTTCAGGTTAAGGACTCTATATACACGAATACTCTCCTTCTGTTCTCGATCCCGACTCCCATCCCAGTGCTCATTTTTTATTGTAAAAGCAGTATATTCACAGATGGGTATAAAGGGAAAGTGCCCTGGCCGGTGTGGCTCAGTGGATTGAGTGCCAGCCTGCGAACCAGAAGGTCAAGAGTTCTATTCCCAGTCAGGGCACATGCCTGGGTTGCAGGTCAGGTCCCTAGCTGGGGGTGTTCGAGAGGCAACCAGCTGATGTATCTCTCACACATCTGATGTTTCGTACCCTCTGTTTGGCCCTCCCTTCCCCTCTCTCTAAAATAAAATCAAATCAATTTTTAAAGTGAAGAGTATCTCCATGTCCCCACTCCCCTCCCTGGAGATGAGTTTCTCACTCACCCCACAGACTTCCTGCACACACCAGCATCTCCTGATCAAAGAGATCACCTTACACATCCTGGTCTGCCCTTTGCTTCCCACCCCCAGTACTGACACCTTTTCTCTCTCTCTCTAACACACACGAGTTTACTTTTTCCCTTTTTAATATAAATCTCAGATGTGAACCCGGCATGGTGAGAGGAGCTGGACGAGGAGCTGACCCCTGCCGCCTCCTCCCCGTCCTCCCCTTAGAGCAGCTGCAGGACCTGTGGGAGACCCCCTGGTTCCGGCCTTGCTGACAGAGAAAAGGACCGGGTGGTTGGGAGAAGAAACGTTTGGGGCCTGAGGACAGAAAGGCTGAAGCAGGGGATGTCTCTAGTTCCAAGAGCTGTGTGATAGGCCCTCCAAAGAGGTCCGCATCCTAGTCCCTGGTCCCTGTGAATGTGTGATCTTACATGGCAAAAGGGAATTCGCAGACAGGAGTAAAATAAGGCTCCTGCAACGGAAGAATGATCTTGGATTATGCAGGTGGGCCAAATGTAACCACAGGGTCCTGACAGGAGGTGGGATCAAAGTCAAAGGGGGAGATGTGATGACAGAAAGGAGGTTGGGGTGATGTGGGTCCCCAAGCCAAGATACGCAGACGGTCTCTAGAAGCCAGAAAAGGTAAGGGAAGGAAGGCATGCAGCCCTGCCGGCCCATTTCAGACTTCTGCCCTCCAGATCTGCAACAGAATAAACTAATGTAGCTTTGAGCTACTCTGTGGAAATGGGTACGGTAGCAACAGGAAACTAATACAGGCTGCAGTAACCTCCTCGTGAATCTAAAATGCCTTAGACTCAAGCAGGGAAGCACTTACCAATGGTAGAAGGCAAGCAGAAGGGATGAGGAGAAACATCCAGGGCAGGGAAGCTCCGGAGGAACAACAGGAAAGGCCGGCGCAGGGCCTGGGGCCTGGGGCTGTGGCACTGGCGTGGGCTGGCTTCCCCTCGCACCCACAGGGGCCACTTCCTGTGGGGTGCTGGCCGAGGGTCTGACCTGGAGGTGAGGGCCCGACAGTTGGACACCGTCCGAGGGTCCAGGGATGACAGGCAGAGACACTAGAGCTAGAATGGGGAAAAGTTCACTTTTCCTCCAAGTTTATGTTCTATAGTTCTGTTGTGTTGACTTTTTCTTGAGAGAGAGAGAGAGAGAGAGAGAGGGAGGGAGAAAGAAAGGAAGGGAAACATCGATGTGCAAGAGATATATTGATCTATTGCCTCTTGAACACCCTGAACTGGGGACCTGGCCTGCAACCCAGGCATGTGCCCTGACTGGGAATTGAACCAGTGACCTTTCAGCACTCAATCCACTGAGCCACACCAGCCACGGCTCTTGTCGACTTTTTAAGGCCAAGCATTAGGGCCAGTCAGAGCTGGCAGCAGCCTAACCAGCCGTCCTGGTGAGCCCAGTGCTGAAGGGTTTCCAGAGACTTAAAACTTTGCATTTTACAACTGAGATTCCCAGGCCAGCTGAGATGACTTGGTCACTTTAAGTTTATGGCCTAAAGAGGTTTCCCCTGCTAGGGTGAGGGTCATGGGGCCATCTACATAACTGCTATATACAAATGTACAAGAAAGGGCTGAGAGACTGAAGAGAGAGAGCCCAGCGACCCTTCGTCACGGCGAGCTCCCTGGGGACCTCCGTGGGCAGAGGAGAAAGAGCAGTTCTGATTGCCAACAAGATCCCAGCGGGGCTGGGATGGAGTGAGGGGCCAGCATGCTAAGAGGGTCACTCTGTGAACCCTGAAGACATCAGGTAGGAGCAGGGCTTAGGGTAAAAAAGAAGGCTCAGGCCATGTGCTAAAGTCCTTCAGAAACGAGGGAGCCTGGCTGGGAGTCAGAAGACAGCAGCGTGGGAGGGGAGAAGAGGGTGGGCAGTGGAATGGCAGGAGCCTCGGAGGAGCCAGGCTTTTATACAGGAGAGACGTGGTCTGGCAGCTGTGAGGGCATAAAGGGAAACGTGACCATGACCTCTGGTCTTACAGTTCTGACATATAGACAGGTGAGGATAGATCCCTCCACAGCGCCAAATTTGGTCCAGACCTCTGAGGGCACTGCATCCTTGGCAGGGGAGGGGTTCCCTGTTGTACAGTTGCATCCTGACTTGCCAATCTCTCTGCCTTAAGGCAGCTTACACACTCACAGAAAAGGCCGGCAGTCACAGTGGGCAGCCTGCACTGGTGGGTGAGAGTTTCTGGAGAGCCCCTCTGCACAGAGCACTGAGGTTCTACAGAAACGCTGAAGTGAGACTGGGCTGCAGCTCTGCCTCCCTGCACTGGAGTCCTGACCCCACCACCTTTTAGCTGGGGTCTTTCCACAAGTCCTTTCTCCTGTGCCTCAGTTTCCTCATCTGTAAAATGGAGAAATCAGACCTACCTCAGCTAGTACCATGCTCACAGCACAGTCATTATCATCTGCAGAGTGCGGGAATTTGCAAGGGAAATGGGCAAGACTCTGTCCCACGCCTCCCAATATCCATGCCTCACTTCTCCCCATAATAGAAACTCAGCTGTTTGAGGTTGGAAATGTGCCCAGTTCAGTTCTCCCTTTCCCAGCCTCCCTTGCAGTGATTATGTGACCTGGCCAGTGAAGTGCAACCAAAAATCTGTTGGGAAGAAGGAAAATTTGAGGAAAAACTTTTGCTTTCCTGGTGAAAAGGAGAAACAGAGGCTTGTAACCACACTCCCCTCTCCTCCTGTCCAGGATCCAGGGGTGATGTTTGGAGCTGCGGCAGTGATACTGCGGTCGTGGGGCAAGGCCAGTGCTTGCACGGTGGTGAGAAAGACAGGAGTGTGGATCCCTGGTGGCACACTGGGCAGCTGAACCAAAGCAGGCAATGGCCTACCCTTATCCTTGTTATCGAAGAAAACTCACTCCCATCTTGCTTAATTACTCTATGAGGGACTTATAGTTCATTGTAGCCGAATATGTTTCTAAATGATACAGGGGATTAGTGGGACTCCTGTTGAAAGGAGGCCCCTACAAATGCACAGCACACTCTAGATTCAGGTCACCTGCTTCTAACAAGCAATTTTCAAAGAAAGGAATCAGGTGTTAAAGGATGTAGCACAAACCCAGCCTTAAAGGAGTGGAATTTAAAGGAGATGTTAGCAAACAGGAATAGCAGAAAGCACAATGTATTGTAATAGCAGGAGCACAATTTTTGCCCCGCAAAAAGGAGCTGTCACTCCCAGAGCTGAAAAGTAAGCTGATAAAGTCACTTCCCCAAGCTTGGCACTGAGCCCAAAGTCTGCTGAGGAGGAACCATACGACACAGTACAGGGAAGCTGGTCCTGCTGAGAGTCATTTCACCTAGTTATTTAATTGCCCACTCAAAAAAAAAACAACAAACCCACAGAGCCCGTTCTAAATTATGGTGTGGTCAATAACGTTAAGATTGCTATTCTCTTTTGTGCCAACCATACGGCATCCGTTAAAAGAGCTCAAATTAGCTAAATGGTTGGATTTGGTAAACTCCTCTACTTCTTCCCTTCCCCCATCCTGCTCTCCACCCACAAGAGACGGGGTAGATTGGAGAAACCAGCTTTTAAATCAAAGTCTGGTTCCGTGTAAGAGCAAAACTGAGAAAAGGCACAACAATGATGGAGGCGGCCAAATACTTAAAAAACCAAAACAGGAGTTGACCCTAGGCCGCGCCCCCACAAGCTCGCCGGGCTAGCTACCACTGACAACAACCTCTACCCCGCTCTGCCTGGGAAGGGCAGGAATGTGATTAGTTTGCATCTTCGTGGCAGGTGACGATGGTAAATGGTCCCACCATCTTTCGCCTGGAGCCCAGCGGTCAGGACGACCAGCAGTCGCCTCCGCCCAGAGGCGGGCGGGGGCTCTCCGCAAGGAGCCGGGAACCTCCAAGAGCCTCCCAGCTCCAGCCGCACATCCGCGTACTCGTGGGCTCGCGGCCACTCCCCGCGCCCCACCTGGCGCCGGGACGCCTGGGGCCCGCATCCTGCCCCAGGGCCAGGCCGTCCGCACCCTCCTCCCGGGAACGGGTGTCTTTCCACGGCCCGCCTCCCAGCGCGCAGTCCCCGCCTGGGCCCGCACTCACGCTCCACGTCGTGCAGCTTGGCCCGCTCCTCCTCCAGTTTGCCCTTGAGGTTTTCGGCCTCGCTTTTCAGCGATGCCAGCGTCTCGTTCTCGTGCAGCCCGTCCGTGGCCATCTTCGTGCGGGGAAGCGGCAGGGAGGGAAGCGGAGTACCGGGATGCGGGTGAGCTGCCGGAGGAGGCTCCAGGCGCCGGGGGCGCAGCTCCCAGCCGCCGTCTCCGAGCGCGCGGCCCCGCCCCCCGGCGCTGACGCGGACAGCGGCGAGCTGGGCTGCGGCTCCGACCCCCTCCCCGCCGGCCTCTCCCGCGGGCACAGCGCCCCCTCCGCGTCCGTGACCCACGCCTGCGGCGCGCGCCCGGACGCTGAGACCTAGAACCCGGCCCCTTTTAATTCTGCTGCGTTTTCCGCCAGTGGGAAGCAGGGAGTGTAGGTCTCATTTTACCGACGAGAAAATCGAGACTTGGCACGTACTAAGGGCCAGGTTGGGATTCCAAGTCAGGACGGCTCCTGGGAGTCTGGTGAACTCCCAGTGACACTGCCCTCCCTTCTGCTCCCGCATCCCTCTTTCCCCGCACGGACATCCCTTCACTGGGACTTGAGGGTTCTACTGGCAGAAACCCGAGAGGACAGGGCAACAGGGTCCGGCTCACATCACTGATACGCGGCCAATTCCAAGTTGCTCTGTTGCTTCCCCGACCGCGAACCGGAAACTTGCCTCGTTTATTGACTTAAATATACAAAAAAAAAAAAAAAAAAAAAAAGCGAGTTCTGGCTTGCGAGAAGCTCTGGGGTCTTAGCACGCCCGCTCCTGGTTTTGCTTTTCCTTTCTTCACTCGAGAATTAAGTCCGGGGGCAGGTTGGAGACATAGTACACGGGGGCCCAGACACAGGGCTTTTGAGCCGGTGCCCAGTGATAGACCAGGCACTTCTGAGGCAGCTTCCTCCACTTTAGAATGAAGAGTCGCTACAGTTCTCTCAAGGACACAAGCATCCCTCTTTCCAGTCCCCTACAGGGCCAGGCACTGTTCCAAGTGCCTTTGCATTAATAACTCACAACAGTCACCCTGATTGGGTGCTATCATCACTCCCATTTCACAAACGAGACAACTGAGGCACAGACGGGTTAAAGGATTTGCTCGGTTCACACTTCCAAGAGGCAAAGGCAAGATCTGGACCCAGTCAGTCTGGCTCCATTCAGTTACAAGCTTCAGGACTCCGGTGTGGAGGACCCAACCCACAGCTTCTTCCTCTTTCCCTCCCCATGAGCTTGCATGTGTGTGTTTGTGTAAAGACTGGAAAGGCAGATCAAAGTTACAAATTCTAAAGTGAAACATTGCCAAGGGGAATCTGGGTTCTAACCCCACCTTCTTTGTACCCCCTCCTTTCCTGAGGAGTGCGGCCTTGACTTGCTATCCTGAGCCCTTGCCAAGAAAAACTGGAACTAATCCATACTAATATTATTATTCATATTAATATATTAGGTTCTCACTTAATGTTGGTTTATAAATGGATGTAGAAAACAGCATATAAATACATAAAACATGTATTTAAATAAATCAAGTATATAAAATACACAAATGTTTTAGATACATTAAACTATTTATGGATGTTTCAGTGTTGGCAGAGCAAAAGGTTAAGAGCATAGACTCTGTCTAGATTAGACTCCCTGAGGGGCAAAGCCTGGCCATGCTGTGTGGCCTTGGGTGATTTACCTCACTTCTCTGTGTCTCGGGCTCTTCATCTATAAGTGGGGATGACGCCTTCCTCAGGGTCCTCCTCAGGAGTGACTATGTAGCACATTCGGAGCAATGTTTGGCACACAGCATGGGCTTGTTATTATTAAGGCTGCCTGATACATGAGCAATTCATGTGAAGTAGTGTAAATGAGGGGACACTTCTCACAAGGGTCATCTCAGCAGGTCTGGGCAAAGCAGCGTCCGCTCATCACCTCCTCAGGCCCACACCTCCAGGACCATATTGGGATATATGAGGTTGCCAGCCTGTGAAGACCTGGGGTGAGGGGTGCTTCATGCTCATGTGCGCCCTCCTCTGGAAGTTCTGTGTGTAAAAGAAATCCCAAACACCCGCAGATCTGGAAAGTCTAGCATTTAGAGATCAGGCCATGCAACTTTTTAATAGCCAGAAAAGTGCTGTCTTGTACTTTGGTGCTCAGTCTGTTTTTCAGTGAGGAGTGTGGAGATCTGCTGGGTTTCAGCAGTGGGGGAGACACAGGGTTGCCCCTAGACATGAGAAGGGCCCACTAGAGGTTGATGTCTACACAATCCCAAACACCTGGATGAAAGGTCCATCATTTGGATGTCCCCTCAGCCAAAGGTGCCTGTCTGAATATTTGGGAACCCCCAAGGGCTTGTCCCCTGAAGAATATTTCCAGGCAGGGCCCCTGACCTGGGAAGAATCTCTGATGCTACAGGTCTGGGATCCTGGGCTCCTTCTGTCCACAGAGGAAGTTGTTTTAAAAACAGAAGAGCTAGATTAACAAACAGCAATGCTCCAGTGTGGTAGGGCAGCCACCAGAAAGCAGGCATATTTTAAGAAATGCATGCCTCGCTTTGACCATTTGCAGAGCCGAGGTTAGAAGACAGGGTGCTGCAGGTGGAAGCCCCTCACACTGAGCCTGACCTCTGACCTCAGGATTACTAAACTGTACCAAAGTCTGTGTGCTACCCTGGGCTGTTTACTTGCCATTCACTCTATGGGGATATATATATTTTTAATTGTTGTCAGGGATTACAGCAGAACCAGGAGGATGAATACTGCCTTCTCATTAGTTAGGCACAATGTAAAAGTCATCTTTCCTCTTTTTGATGTAGGGTTTTAAAAAATGTGCTAATAATTGAGGATTTCACCCTGGCTGGTGCAGCTCAGTGGATTGAGTGCCAGCCTGTGAACCATAAGGTCACAGGTTCGATTCCTAGTCAGGGCCCATGCCTGGGCTGCAGGCCAGGTTCCCAGTTGGGGGAGTGCAACTGATTGACGTATCTCTTACACATTGATATTTCCCTCTCTTTCTTCTACCTTTCCTTTCTCTTTAAAAGTAAATAAATAAAATCTAAAATAATAATAATAATAATAATAATAATAATAATAATAATAATAATAGATTTTCTGTTAGGCTTTGGAAAAGAGTGCTTTACCACTTTTGACCAGGTGGGGGCCCGGCTCAGCCACAGTACTGAACAGAGCTTTGCAAATCCTCTGAGATATGACCAATTCCTAGGGCTTCAGCTATGCTGTGGACATTTTTTTGCTGCAAGATCTGGATATAGATCTTCCATAACTAAAGATCTGGATATAAAACCCGGGCATAGCCACCTCTAGTGAGGACTGATTTGTGTACTTGAGAAATGCCAGGATTTGTGTTCAGCTCCTAGCCCTTGCTGAACACTTAGGTTAAAGGAACACTTTTCCTTGGGCTTAATCTTACTCATTACCGAGGCCCTGTGTGGTTCAGTCTTCGACAGGACTGTTCCTAGTGGCAGCTGGCACAGGGCCTTTGCAAAGATGCCCCCAGGCTGTTTATTTGCCAGTGTCCCTTTTAGCTTGGTCGCTTGCCAAGCAGACTCATAGAAGACAAAGAAAAAAGCATTAGCTCTAAAAAAATAATACTAGCTATAACATTCATTGGGCATTGTCTGTGTTTGGTACTGTTTAAACACTTAATCAAGCAAACTCAGTTGATTCTCATGAAGCCCTGTGAGATAAGTTGTATTGTTCCTTTTTTTACGGATGGTGCATAACTACCAAAGAACAGAGCTAGGACTTGAACCCAGGGAGTCAGAGACCAGAGTCCACACCTTAAGCCCCTAACCCCCCATGCTATACTGCCTTACCCAGCCTGGCTGTACTGAAAATGTTTGTGTGTGTGCACTAATTCTAGGGCAACTTCTCTGTCACAGGACCTTCATGTTAGACATTGCTTTAAGATCAGTAACTACTTAAATTTTTGAAAAGTTACACTCACAATTTCTGCACATGCTGAACAGTAGCTGAGCTGTTGAGATTTCTTGAACACTGGTCTCAGAGCCCTTTGTTTGAAACATTTGTCGCAGGAGCCAAATACATTAACTAGAAAGGTCTGATCACACATCTTTAACCCTAGATGACCTGAAAGAGAGACAGAGAGAAAAGGCATGTAAGTGTGTGAGAAGGCCGACAGGAGAAGCTTTCTTAAAGCTCATCTTCCTTTTATCATGGTAGTTGTTCAGACCTCTGCATGCGGGATAAAGTACCCACGGTTAATCTGTAACCTCTGATTCATTACAACAGGCTGGGTCAACACCAACTCATGTATTTCATCAGCAAGACATTTATTTAAAGCATCAGACAATAGGTTTTCTGAATTTGTTTAACTGGTTATTTTGGCAGCTTGCAGACATGAACATAATTGATTTTTGTGGTGCAATATTTCCTTAAAATTGATTTTAGAGAGACAGAAAGGGAGGAAGAGAGAGAGACAGAGAGGTCTGTCATTCCACTTGTTTGTGCATTCATTGGTTGATTCCTGTGTGTGCTCTGACAGGGGACGGAAGGGGCGACCTTGGCAAATGCGGATGACGCTCTAACCAACTGAGCTGCCTGGCCAGGGCCTGCAGCATAATGTTAATTCAGCGGGGCTTCAAAATGGAAGGCATGGCTGTAATGAATAGTATAATTTGAAAGTTAAAAAGAAAAAACTGCTCCCTTCAGGGTGAACTTTTGGAGTAAAAACATGGCAGAGCCTAACCCCAACCAATGCCAGGAGGCTGAGCACATGTGGGGTTGGGTCCCTGCCAGGAATGCAGTCTCCCACTTACTCACTAACCATGTGACAGCCACAGACCCAGGATCCCTGCCTGTGTACCCAGAAATCTACAGGCCCAGGCCACTGAAGGAAGGGCCGAAGCAGAACCACCTAGTGACTAAAGGTGCTGGCTCTGGCTGAGTGGATCCTGGCCCACCTACTTAGGCAAGTTACTTACTCTCTGAATCTTTGTTTGCTGATCTCTGAAATGAGGGTCTTACAATCCACCTCATAGGGTTATCAGGGGAATTCTAAATAACAGTGCAGGAAGCACTTAGCTCAAGGCCAGAATATAGTGAGCGCTCCAGAGATGTCACGCTGCCCAGTGAGTGGCTGTAATAGCAGCAGCAGCAGCAGCAGCAGCAGCAGCAGCAGCAGGAAGGGGGGATGGGGAGGCTACAAATGTGGACCAAGCAGAGAAGAGCCTATGGCTACAGTTTAGGCAAGAAACAATGAAGGCCTGAACTAAACCAATGCTGTGGGATGGACGTGGACCACACTTAGGAAGGAGAAGGAGCTGGACTTGGCAAGGTGTGGGGATGAGGAAAGGGAGATGTCTACGTGTCTCCTAGGTTTCTGTTTGGGAGGCGGAGGGGTCGTGGTGCCATTGTCAGAGATGGAGGGTCAGGAGGTTACAGTGGGAGGGGCAGCCATCTATCGTAGCTGTGTCAACTAAACCAGTGTTCTAAAGAGTGGGCTATGTCGGGGCTCAAAGAAATGATGCCCTGAATCTGCAGATATCTTGAGGCACTGGACTATATACTTTAACAGAGCCAGATTTGCAAGGGATGCGTTTGTGGGGCAGATAGCAGTGGGGACACCTCTGAGGAGAATGTCACTGTGGGGCTGGAGAGAGAAAGTGACAGCTGGCATAGTTCTTGGGGTCTCTAAGTAACAAAGGAGTAGAGGACAGTTCCTTGAGGATGAGAGATAAAAAGGGAAGCAGCTATGGACCACCACAGAGTACTTGGCCCTGACCTCCCATAGCCACCCTGAGAAGGAGGCAGGACCTCTGTGTTTGCACAGCCGAGGAAAGGCTGAGGGAGGAAATGAGTTCAATGTCAGCGGTGGAGCCTGAATCTGTAGGTAGTGGGCCTCCACGGCCTTCACCATCAAGCTCATGCTGCCAATCTACTCTGGTTTGTCTCTAGTGAGCTAAAGAATGAGAACAGCCTGCCCACCAGAGCCTGGCCTGTGGTGGGGGCCTGGTAATGTCGCCCCCGACTGCCCACACCTGCCCAGGGAGCCAGTCACAAGGTCATTCCGGGGACTCCAAGTAACAGCACTAGGAGAGTAAGCCATGGGTTTTTCAGCAAGGGAGCAACGTCATTTGAGTGGATTATCCCAGCATTTGTGCTTCCACAAATAGCTCAGAGACAGAAGGCACAGCAGGGATATCAGCCAGGTCCAGGGATGGATCCTGTTCTGGGGAAGGGGAACGAGGTCTGCACAGCAGCAGCTGCAGGAATGAGAGTCGAGGGGAACCCAGTGGAGAAGGCGTGGAAGGACAGCTGGGAGCTTCGGAAGGGAACTAGAAAGCACAATCAATGCCCCAGATCTGGGTGGAGACAGTGTTCTCCTTCCCACACTGATTTTCTTTTAAATTATAAGAGTTGCCTCTGTTCATTATAAATAATTGGAAACAAGAACATAAAGAAGGAAAATTAATCACTTACATGCTCTATGTTAACAAATAATTGACTTCTGTTAGCATTCTGTTTTCTTCTAATATCTTAATAAACATATGTGTATACATTTTTAAAAATTAGAATTGTATGCCATATGTAGGTTTTGACATTATTTTTGTTTTTTTCTTCACATGTGACTGCATATTCTTGGAAAACACCATATTTTAATGGAGACCACAAGCTTTGAGTCATATTAGTTAAATCATATCACACAACTAGCATTTTAGATCTGGTTGGTTAAACACGGGCAAAGCTATAAACCAAATTTGAAAGATTCTAGTATTTTAAACTGATAAGTGTTATGCATGGTTATTATAGAAAGTTTGGAAAAATCGAAAAGGTGTAAGGAAAAAAATATCACTGATAATCCCACTGCCCAGAGAGTCGCCTTGTCACATCTTGGTGAATGCAAGAATAGATTTTTAGGACAATTTGTTCATGTAAACTGTTTACATCTTTATATCCGAATGTTTTTTATTTAGTATATATATCACGAGCTAGATTTAATATAAGATTTTAATAGATTTAGTATAATCTATTGTGCTCATTGTCAATCATCTTTTTTATGATGAGGGAACTTTCCAGAGCTAGAGTAAATGCTTCAGTGAGCATTCAGACAAGAAAAAGATAAAAACGCCCCATTTTAACAAGTTTTGATGCGAAGTTGCTCTGTAGAAAGAGTTCACAGTCCTGCTCAAAACTTCCCCTAACCCTCCCTTCGACACTCACAACATTTCTTGGAAATGTTTCACTTCAATATATAGTTTAAAAATTACCCCAAAGCCCACATTTTAAAAAAAAGTTAATGCCAAAATTATGAAGTCAAAAGTGAAAGCCCCCATCACTGTCCCGCATTCACTCCCCTTTAGATTGGTGTGGATTCTTCCAGACTTTTCTGACGCCTTAGAGATGGGCTGTTGGCTACTTGTTTTTCACCTGAGTTGTTCTGTTAGTACTTTAGATCTGTCTGTTTTTCTTGTAATAGCTTGAGAATTATTCTATACTATGGACTATCATAATTCATTAAACCTATCTCTGATTGTTAGATATATAGTGTATCTCCAGTTTTTACTTTCAAAACAGTGCTTCATCAACCAAATTAAAAATGGGCACAAGAACCCTTGTACTTTGCTGGTGGGAGTGTAAAACGGTGCGGCTGCTGTGCAAAACTGGCGGTCACTCAGAGCGTCAAACAGGGGCGTTACCCTGTGGACCAGTAAGTCCACTCCCAGGTACATACCCAAGATAACTGAAAGCATGCCTTTGCATAAAAACTTGTATGTGCATGTTTGTAGCAGCATTTAAGCTAAAACGTGGAAACAGTTCAAATGTCTGTCAGCTGATGGATGGCTAAACAAAATGTTGTTATCTATACAGTAGAATGTGATTTGGCAGTAAAGAAGAATAAAGTTCTGATATGTGCTACAACAAGGATGACCCCTGAAAACATGAAGTTAAATAAGCCAGACATAAAATGTCACAAATTATGGTTCCCTTTATATGAGTGTCCACGATAGGCAAATCTGCAGACACAGTAGGCAGGTTAGAGGTTGCTGGGGAGGTGGGCTGTGGGGTGAGGAGTGACTGCTTCATGGGTATGAGGTGTCTATTTTGGGGTGATGGAGCTGCTCTGGAATTAGATGCTGAGTTGTTAGGTGCATTATATCTCAATAAAAATTATTACTTAAATGTGCGAAAGACTTGAACAAACACTTTACAAATGCAGATTTCCATATGGTCAATAAATATATTGTAAAAAGCTCAACATCATTAGTCATCAAAGAAAAGTGAATTCGGATCACACTGAAGTATCACTACTCACCCACTCGTATTCCTGAAATGAAAAATACTAACACTCTGAAGGGTGGGCGAGGATGTGGAAAACTGGACCTCCTTCCTTGCTGTCAGGAGTATAAGCTGGCACACACACAAAAAAGAGTAAGAATGCCATACGCTTTGTTCATAATGGCTCCAAACTGGAAAACCCCAATGTTCAATAGTAGACAAGACAAATCATTTATGGCGCATTCACACAGTAAAAAGGACTAGACTACTGGTGCCTGTGACAGCGTGGATGCATCTCAGACTCATCACGACTCGTGTTCAGTCCTGAAGGCCTCTCAGTGCCGCATGCTGCTCTCTGAGGCTCACGGGGACGTGTTGAGTGTTACCTGGATCCATTTCTAAAACTAATCAATGGCTTTATAGACAATGAACTTTTCCCCTGATGCCAATACTGAACATATTTTAAAAACAAAACATCGTACTACTACAAAAAAAATGCATGCGAATCTTAGAAAACTTAGGACATTTGGATGTTCCCACCACACAGAAAGACCACTGTTAACAACCTGCTATGTGCATATCTGAACACTTTTCTGAGCTCTTGAGAAACAGTCTAATTTATGTTAACATATACATACCTTCTGGGGAGCAAACACTTGGAACTGATCAGCAGAAAGGTGAGAAGAAATTAGAGCTACCAGCTCGGAGGTGCAGAAGGGACTCAGCACAACTAATCTCCTTATTGGGGCTTTATGCCCAGCTCAGCTGCTCCATCTCTGCCCCCCCACCCCCTGCCCTGCCCCCACGGCCCTGTGTTCACTGCTGGGACACCCACTGCCCTTTGCGTCAGGGGCTCACCCCTTGAACCCTTTGCCCAGCCGCACTGCCAGGTGCCGTCAGAACCCTGTTGACTAGTTTTTCAGGCTTTGTTCTCTGCCCTCTGAGGAGGTGGAGTTCACAGGTGTGACCCCATGAATCCACAACTTGCTCCACTGAGTAACCCTGACATTCCCCTCTGACTAGATGGTATCCGGTACCTCCTGCCTCCTCAGTCCTCCTCCCACCAGCACCTCGTTAATTTTGGCCACCCTTCCCTGCTTCAGCCTTGAAGAACTGATCAAGCCTGTGGGGTGAGTGCTCCCCTTTCCTCCTTTTTCATGCATTTTCAGCCTCTGCAGTTCCCCTTGTCTTGCCCCAAACCAGATCTACTCCTTCCCAAGGCTGACCCATGTCCAATCCTGCCACCTGCACTGGACTTTGCTCCTGCACTTCTCTCCCACCTCGCCAGCATCCAGATGAAGGGATGGTAAGATGTGGCCCTGCTCTCCAGGACTGCACAGGCTGGCAGAGGAGCTGGGCAAGCTACTGGCTTACAGCCGAGGCTAAGTGCTGTTACACAGGCATGACCCCAAGTTATGGGAGCGGAAGAGGAAGGGGGATGGACTCCACGTGGCCCAAGGAAGGTCTGGAAGGGGCACAGAGGCAGCCATGGTGCAGAGCAGAAACCCAGGCAACTCTCCCCAAGAAGCCCCTCATTCCGGCACAGCTTAGGGAGCCCCACTGAGATGCAGCCCAAGGCAGGACTTAGGGTACATTGACTTCCTCTGTGGAGATTCTTACATAGCTTTTATGAGGTATTATGACTCTATAAAGATTCCAGCATCTTGTATGACCATTAAAGAAAGTCATTAAAACTTGTGTACTTGAGCCCTGGCTTGTGTGGCTCAGTGCACTGAGTGCCTGCCTGAGAACCAAAGGGTCACCGGTTCAGTTCCCAGTCAGGGCACATGCCTGGGTTTTGGGCCAGGTCCCCAGTAGGGGGTGTGTGAGAGGCAATCACACACTGATGTTTCTCTCCCGCTCTTTCTCCCTTCCTTTCCCTAAAAATAAGTAAATAAAATCTAAGGAAAACAAATGAACTTGTATACTTAAGAAAAATATAACTTAACAATGAAAAGAACCTGACCCGATTCATACTGGAATTTATTTCATTGATTGCAATATTACAAAGTTCTACTTTCATTTCTTCATATACAGTGTATCTAAATGAAGTAAATTAAATTACTGATAATGCGAAGACATCACTGCACATTAGCAGGGTGATGTTGCTTTACACTCATGTGTTATTCCCACTTCTGAGAGGGGTGTCTGTGTTCCAGTCACACCTGTCGCCCGTGACTCTGTCAGAAACAGAGGGGCTGGTTGGGACCCTCGGGGGGCTGCAGAGGGCACAGGGGCCACGGGCTGGGTGGGCTCCTCGCCTGGGGTTTTATGGTCCGACAGGAAGGAGAAGGTGTGGGCGGACCAGGAACAGTCAGTTCCCACGAGACGTGGGAAGCACAGACTTCTCAAAAGGAAGAAAGGGACGGAATTCTTCAGTTATTCATATAAGGAAATTTTAGAAAATATTTGAATGCTGGTAAGATAGGGAAAATCATGAAGTGGTTTTCTAAGTTAAATCTGTATTTTACATTGTCTTTTAAAACTTAGTTTTAAAAAATTATTGTATAAAGATATTAAACAATGAAAATGATGGCAAATATGTTGGCAGATGAAATTTAAAGGTTCTTTTGGAGGAGATGGTAAGTAGTGTGGCAAATTAAGTTTTAATGGCATGTTGGTTTTAAATAGATATATATGTAAAATACTTCATGTGATTCATTTCAGATTGAGTATTCTTTTAAAAATTAGCCCTGGCTCGTGTAGGTCAGTGGATTGAGCATGGGCCTGTGAACCAAAGGGTCGTCAGTTCAATTCCCAGTCAGGGCACATGCCTGGGTTGTAGGCCAGGTCCCCAGTAGGGGGTGCATGAGAGGCAACCACACATTGATATTTCTCTCCTTCTTTCTCTCTTTCCCTTCTCCTCTCTAAAAAGAAATAAAATCTTTTAAAAAAATTAGAGGGGACTGAAATAATAAATATTTTTTATGCAGGTACATTTTTAGTAAAGAGTCAGTGAACCACACCCGACCCCTCCCCCAACCCCCAACAGGTACGGGGTGAGGGACTTTTGGCAGGACTCTGTGGCCAGATGGGATTACTGTCTGGAAGATTCAGCCCTGAACTCCACTGTGGTGTCATAAATGTACCCCGGCTTCACATAAACCTCAGCAAATTTGGGAGACGCTGTGTCCCTGGATCTAATGCCCCTCTGAGTGGAGCCCTGTCACAAGAGAGATCTTGACCAAGAGACAGCTGGAAGGAAACATGAGCCTTCCAGAATTCTAGTATATGCCGGCTGAGATTCCCAAGCTGGACAAGGCCACAGCTGGTGTGTGTTAATTTTTACAAAATGTACCAGTGGCAATGCCATCACTGACAGTGAGAGAAATGTGACCCATTTGGGAGAATTCTTATTCTCTTTCTTAAATCATAGTCGAGCATTATCCAGTTCCAATGAATAAAGCACATTCCTCATATATTTGACCTTCATTTAGCTTTTGAGGAAAAAGTGCATTTACTCTTTTTCCCGCTATACTCTATGGAGAAAGCCTAGCTTGAAACTGCTGGGGATCTCGATCATTTCCAGAGCGTGGGGGGAGGGCGTGAAAGGAAACATGACTTGAAAGAGGTATCTGGTATCCAGCATCAGCTGTGACGAGTCCTCTCGGCTGCTGAGGAGGGCCTGAAATGAGAACCAGAGGGAAGTGAACGAGGATGGGTGCGCATCCCGCTTTGTTGCCGCCGGGGAGTCAGGAGTGAGGAAAACACACAACTCTCTCTAGTGAAACACTCCTGTCAAAACCACGTGACACTGACTACACAGAAGCGCTTTTTACTGGGGCAGCTCCTAGGCGGACGGTCTGCCCGGACCCCCAGATCAGCTCTCAGGAACACCCCTTGCTCTGTTTCTCTCCGGAAGCCAACTTCCTGCAGGATGGACTGACTACATGATCAGTTTTCTCCTCTTATCTATCCTCATGGCATAATTCTAAGCCCAACAATGAGCAGATCTCAAGTATTAAATTTTTATCACACTCATCTTTCTTTCTATTCAGTGTTTTGTAAACTTTTTTGGTTTTAGGACCTCTTTACACTCTTAAACATTACTAAGGACTCTAAGAGCCTTTGTGTATATGGGTCTAACTATTGATATTCACCATATTAGTAATTAATAATAACTTGAAGTGTTCTTATGCATTAAAATAAGAACAAACCTAACACACGTTCATATATTTTTATTGAAAAATAACTACATTTTGAAAACTAAAACCGTTAGTGAGAAGTGAAGTGGTATTGTCTTATATCTTTTTAATTTCTGACTTAAAATGATGGGTGGGATCTTGGATCTCTTTCTGCATTCAACATATTGCAATACATAATTGTAGTTGAAGTGTAAGAAAAAAAGTTGGCCTCCTACAGATATGTAATTGGAAAAAGGAAGACTTTGCAGACCTCCCAAAAAGGGTCTCGAGGACCCCCAGGGATTCTTGAATCAAACTCTGAGAACTGTTGCCCTAATTCACTGGGTAAGAAACTTTTGAGACTAAAATAAGGAAGATGGGTAGGCGGGTCTCTGCTCCCGTCGGCCCCTGCTCACCTGCATAGTGAGCACTCAGAGACCGACAAGAAACGAGCCCTGCTGAAGGAAGGAAAGGTATGAGTCACACCTGGCGTTTGCTTTCCCTTCCCACAGGACTAACGTGGCTTCTGGAAATGGGGGGATCTGACAGAGAAAATTCCTGCTGCTCTCTCTGGGTGCCTTTTGGGTGCATATTTACTGAATGTACTTTAATCCCAGCTTTCTGTAATGTTAATTAAATATCATTTTCTCGTAGTAACAATTAAAAGGCACATTCTTAAGGATCTCACCTGTACTTTGCGAACAAAGGACGGAGCCACTCTTTTCTCGAAGTCATCTATAGGTGTGTATGAATTAAGGATCTTTATGATCTGCAAAGCACACGGAAGGTGGTGTTAGGCCGTGAAAAAAAGACAGCTCTGTCCCTGAAGCAAGGTTCCGGTGGCGTGGGAACAGCTGGGAACCACAGGTAGCTTTTTTATGCTGTAACTGGGTTCTAGGAACCATGCGTTCTTTCTTTCCAAGAAAAGAAAACGCACAGAAGGGAGCAAAGACAAATCACATAATCGGGTGCCAGTAACACAGTTCCACTGCCAGCCTCCACCCCCTCCCCATGTCTGTAAGTTCAGTGACAAGGGAATGTGTCACCCACACTTCTGTGTATTTAAGGCATGGAGTTGGTGTTTAATAAATGCTTATGAGATAAGAGGGTGGGCTACGGGAGACACTGTGAAGCACGCAGAGACTCAGGGGCACCCCATGGCTGGCTGGGCCAGGAAAGGCGACACCAGTGGGAAGACCTGTCGGGGAAGGTCGGGCGGACATCAGCAAGCCGGATTACCTGCACGGCCGACAGTGAGGCACAGCGCTCATAGATCTCCTTGGCATCGCTGTCTGTGGTCTTCTTGACCTGAAGTAACCAGGCTGCCTGAGAGAGAGGCTCCAAAGTTTCCTTGGCCAAGCTGTTCTGCAAATTCTTATCTTTAAGCCATTCTTCTAAGTAACTGATGTTGCACCTGGGGTAAAAGCCAGAGGAGCAGAGGACCGTGGGCAATCCACTTAGAACTTGCTAGGGGAGGGTGCTGAGTCCCCTGGTGTGTCGTGAGAGGGTGCCTGAGTTCACTGAGGGGAGCAGGACCACGGTCCAGCAGGTTCTTTGTTTGTAACATGAGGGGTGGACCATGATTCATGGTTCTATGGATCCTAAGGCTTTCCTACAATCCACTGGGGCTTTTTTATTTTCCTTTTTGAAATAGGGCTGAAACCTACCTCAGAGGGTAGGTTTCTCTTCATTTCTTATAGATTTATGAACTAAGACCCATGGGTTTTAGTCCTACCAGTCCACTGTGTGTGCTTCGAAAGTTACGCAACCTCTCTGATACACGGAAGTGTGAGAACGCTCATACATTGCTAGTGGAAAGGTAAAATGGTGCAGCTGCTGAGGAAAACAGCCTGGCAGTTCCTCAAAATGTTCATGTAAACCTACCATGTGACCCTGCAATTCAGTGCCTGGGTATGTACTCATGAGGACTGAAAACATGTCCACACAATAATTGTCCACAAATGTTCATAGCATTTAATTTAGCCAAAAAGGGAAAACAAGACTAAGTTCCATATATTATTTTTATAACTCATGACTAGGAACAAAAAAGAATTAGGCACTAGGAAAATCTTTCTGTCTTCCCAGGAACTGGTCTGCCGCACCACACCTGGTGAGACCAGAGAGCTGATGATGTTTTGTTTTTTGTTCTGGCAGCCTGAAAGCCCAGAGCTCGTTTTCAAGCTACTCTGTTCACTGCTTAAATTTTTTTCTTCTTTTTGGTTTTGATTTCCTACTTGTGTTCATGTTTTATTACTGTGCTGCTTGTGTTTTCATTGTGAAGCCACCACAAATCCTGGTGGGACTTGCGCACGGCAGGAGCTTAATAAATATCTGAATGAATGGCCGCCTCCACAATGCACATGCTGTTCAGAGCAACTCCCTGTAAGGGCATCACTTCTCAGATGGCCGCTTGCAGCTGGTGAAAGGAAGAAGCACAGCGCACTTGGGGGAACAGAGGCTGCATGTCACGAAAGCAGCTGTTTGCCACAGTGGTCCCCAACCTTTGTGGCACCAGGGCCTGGTTTGGTGGAAGACAGAGGGGCAGGGAAGGAAGCGGAGCTCAAGTGAGCTCGGCTGGCCAGCTGTGGATGGGGTGGGAAGACAGGAGGTGGAGCTTAGACCAGCAGAGGGAGCTGCACTCCTGGCCTGGTTTTTAACAGGTTGTGGCTCCGGGTTTAGAGGATCTAGACCTGTGTGTCCTGCTCATGTCCCTTGTCACTCATGTCCCATGTTCACACATCTTAGAGGACCTACTGATGGAATGAGAGTTGTTTAGCAACGGCTCTGGTGGCACATTTAGGTTTATGGCTTTACTTGAAATAGGGCTGAAACTGACCTCAGTGGGTAGGTTTCTCTTCATTTCTCAGGGAAGAGATAAAGGTCCTCAAAGCCCAGTCCTTCTGACGACCCCTCACAGCTGAAAACCATAACCTGGTGTCATGGGAATTCACCAGTCTGATTTGTGGGGATGTCCAACTCTGAGTTTCACTGATGTGAAAAGATGTATGGAGGCTTCATGCTTATTTTTTGGCTTTAATACAGTTCCTTTGTCCCTCAGCCTGACATCATAGTCACCTTCTTCTCACCCCAGCTTCTCATATCACATATAGGTATCACATCCCTGTATATATTATAAAAATCTCACATATCTACCCCATATTATGTGTTTTCTAATCACTTGACAGCATTAATTCAAACAGTAGCTCAGGGTCTGTTTCCTCAATTTAGAGATAAAGAGGAGCTGACACACCTCAAAACTGTGGATTACCTTTCTTCAGGATGAATTTGAAGTGCCTTAGCCTGGCGTTCCAGACCCTCCCAGTCTGAATCCACTGCTCTGCCTGCTCCCAAGACAAACCTCTGCTTCCTCTACACAGAGCTGTCTGCTGCTGCCAGGGGGGCCCTCACTCAGTCCCACCGCCGTGCCGTGCCTTTGCTCACCTGGCGCCCCCACCGGGGATGGGCTTCTCCCTTGTTAACATCACTCCGTACACAGCTTTTCAGCTTTTTTACCTTTTCTGTTCATCACAATCTCTCTTTTCTGAAGCACTTTTCGTACCACTGGCTCCTGACTTAATTAACGTTGCCCTGAATTGTTAGCTATTTTGAGCTTCTCAAGGGTAGAGATCAAATTGCCCTTGCTTTGGGTTCCTGCTCTCTACCAGGCAGTGCTACTCACAGAGGTGGTGGTCAGTAAATACTGGCTGAGTGTATGATAACCATGGAGAGGGGGACTTACATACAGTTACTAGTCAAGTAGCGTGGCCTAGAGGTGCGGGAGGAGGGGATCAGAGGCCGACATCTCCAAGGTTCTAGGAATCACCTTGTATACACACCCCTGCCCCCTGTACCCCAGCACTGCAGCTCTCATGGAAGCGGGGCGGGAGCGTGGCCTCAGACATCAGGAGCATTCTCTCCCGCCAGCCTCTCTGGAGCAAGCCGGCTCGTGGGCTTTACCTGATCTGCATCCCTTTTCTGCAGGAGCACATGTCCTTGCGCAGGAAGAGGCTGTTCAGGGTGACCGCCCCGATCAAGAAGAAGAGCTGCTTCACGGCCTGCCTCACGAGCTCGGGGTCCAGGCCGTTCTGGCACATGGTGCTATAGAAGTAGCTCAGCTGCTGCAGGACGGAGGCCATCGTGTAGGCATCTGTGTCGTCTATGCTGGACGACCGCTTCCGGAAGCCCGTGGGCTTCAGGCCGGAGATGCCCTGCAGGCTCTCATACTCCAGCATGCCTGGCACTGCGGGGGAGAGGAAGCTTTTTTTGCACGCACAGTGGGGATGACCAGAGGTCCCCTCTCATGGCTCTTATGTGTCTGTTTCAGGAGGTGACATTTTTCTACCAGAGTTAGTAGTGGACGGAGTGGTAACAGAGAAAGCAAGAGAACCAGGGACTGGGGAGCACCAGGCTGTGGCAGGGGCGGGTCGACCTGGAGCTCCTCTGCTTTCAGAGGAAAGAGACCATGTTAACATAGTAACTCATGGTCTGGAGCCATTTAAAACTGAAAGCATTTAAATTTCAGAAAATTAAAGATCATATAGGAGTTTGAAAGGAGCTTTGGGAATTCAAAAATACTTGGCTAAGACCCAGGATTAGCCATATAAATAGTAGCAATTCTCCCAAGGTTTTCCCTTCCAGATGCATCACCTTTACCTTTAGAAGGAAAACTATGAACCAGGTATATAGATATAATTGTTACAAGCAAAATCAAAGAATTAAAAAGTAGACATATACACCACTAAATTTTCTTGGTTTTAAAATTATATTCTGTGTAGCCACACATTCCATACACCTAGTTTGTTTCTTAGGGGTTCAATATTGCTATAAATATTTTTGGTTATCAATTCTTTTCTTACCTATTATGGGCTGAATGTTATTTTCCATTACAATAATGAACTGATGATATATTCGTATAGCCACATCACTGAGAATCTGTCTGTATTCTGACAGGTCGAAATTGTTCAAGCAGTTCTTATTCTGATGTGGAGTGTTATGTTTCATGAATTCCTGAAAGTGATTTTGAGCATATAAAATATTAAAATAATATAGGCATGTAGGAAATTGAAATACTGTCTCTACTAATGGTATTACAATGGTACAATCAGCTTCTACTATACCCCCCCACACACTTTGAAACTTAATGTCTGATTTGTATTTCAATAGTTCGTGATGTTTGGGGCAGCACTTGTTTTCCATGACTGACTAAATGTCACTGTGCCCCCAGAGCCTACAAACCACAGCAGAAAACCACTCCCGTGGGAGTTCATAGAGAAAACTGCAGAGCAGCTGAGGGAACAAGTGCTATAAAAGGTCAGTAGGTAAGTGAGATTCATAACTTTATAATTACAGAGTACAGACCAATCTGAAATACTATAAAATGTGGGTTATGAGCTGAATGTTCATGTCTCCCCATTATTCCCAATCCACATGCTTAAGCCCTTACCTCCAGTGTGGCTGCACTTAGAGACGGGGCCCCTAAGAAAGCAACGAAGGGTAAATGAGGCCATGAGGATAGGGCCTCATCTGTTAGCACGAGTGTGCTTATAGTAAGAGACAGTGAAGAGCTCAATCCCTCTCTTTCCACCCCTGCACACAGAGGGAAGGCCATGTGAGGACACAGCATGACAGTGGCTGTCTGCCAGCCGGGAAGAGAGGTCTCTCCAGAAACCAGCCCCGTGGGCACCCTGATCTGGGCTCCAAGTCTCCAGAGCTGTGAGAAATGAGTTTCTGTTGTTGAAGTCACTGGTTTACGGAACCTTGTGTATAGCAGCCCAAGCAGACAAATGCAGTATGTTTAACGTGTCCAAAGAGAAAAAGAAAAAGCAAACATAAAGACAAGAATAGGATACTAGGATAAAAGGCAGAGGTAGAATTTTAGAAATAAAAACACAGAAATTAAAAAAACACTCAGGGAAAAGAACATCGAACACCTGGCTGAAGGAGGCAAAAACAGGATCAAAATGTAAATGCTGTTGGATAATCTCCTTGTCCATGAGTGTCTCAGGGACGCCTGTGTGTCTTAAATGGATGGTCTGTCGGTCCCCGCCCCCCACCCTGGTGTTCCTTTTAGTCAGAGCTTGGATCTTCTTGACCTACTTCTCCTTTTGTTCTATGGTACTAGTAGGAATACTTTCATACTTCACTTTCTATCTACTGGGACAGTTGGTTAGCCATGTAGAAGAAGATATGAGGTCATTACCTCACAAATCAATGTAAAATAGGCAATCACACCAATTTTGGATGAGTAAAAGCACAAGTAAGTTAGTAAACATAAATTAGATAAGTACGTGAGTAAATTCTTGAATTGTAAGAGTTTAGAAGAAAGCAGGAGAATATCTTCATGATCTCAGAACAGAGAAAAACTTCTTAAAATGTGTAACATAAAAGGGTAGAATAGATTTAAGTACATAAAATTCAAAAACTGTGTATGATGAAGTCTCCATAAAGAAAATTAGAAGACATGTGACAATCTATCCATAATATATAAAGATCTCCTATAAATAAGTAAAAAAAATCACCCCTAAGAAAAATTTTAAAATGGATGTAAGTAGGCAGTTTAAAAGGAAACCCGGATGACCAATAAGCATATGAAGTGATGCCTGATCTCACTGGGATCAAGCAATTTCAACTTCAGTCAACAAGGTATTGTTTACGCCAGTGACACTGGTAAACAATGTGTCTCTCAGTGCCGAGTGTTGGTGAAGGTACGAGACATTGGAACCCTCACTATTAGTGGCACCATAAAACGGTGCAACTATTTCAGACAGCGGTGAAAACCCTAAAAGCCATTTGGTTATTTGGTCAAGGACGCTTGGCTCTGTGCGCGCCTGTAGGTGGGACACTCCCTTACGACGTCAGCCCCTTAGAGACGGGTCACGACGGCAGAGGAGTTACAGGCTGTGGAGGAACAACCGGAGAGAACAACTCTGCAGAAACAGGCATGTTGAACTAAACGCTGTGTTTTAGAGTCATAATACTGAAAACCTCAGAATTTCACACCCAGAAAGAAACTTAAAACTTACCCAGTCTACCCCACTAATTTAAAACTCAAGGAAACTGAAGCTCAGTACCATGCCCAATGTGTAAGCCTCTTTCTAGAAGTCCTCTGCTCGTGACTTCTGTCTGCCTGGCAACAGGAAGTCAGCCCCCTGCAGGGGGTGAGACAAAGCCAGCAGTGCAGAGGCTGTCCCGGAGCTGGGTGTCCCGCGTCCTGTCCCCACAGGGAGCCAAGGCCGTCGCAGACCAGCAGTCAGCACAGAACACAGCGCAGGCCAGCGTCTTACCTCCTCTCCACTGTACTGCTTCAGGCAGTTGAGGAAATGACAAGTATTGGAAAGCCAAAAGGACAGCATTTCAAAGTCTTCTAAATGCTCCTTAAAGAAAAAAAACAAACAAATGATAAAATGTGAACTGGTGATTATTTTCTTGGTTTCTAAATATTTAAACATCCCAGGCAGCAAGATGGGGCAAACACTGCGTGCCTGCATCCTGGGACACAATGCAAGAGTGTCCTGAGGAAACCCGGTTTGTGAAAATACAGACAAGGAAAACATCGGTGTACGGGGGGCTCTTCCTAGAACACTGGTGGTGACTGCAAAGACAAAGACAATAAAGCACTTAGTGTTGAACACATGCTAGTTTTCTGCTCTTAACTCCTGATGACCTCTCAGTACAAGAAGTCATCATTTTTGGGAGAGGAGGGAAGAATTACTCTAACCTCTCATGCATTCACTGTTTTTATTTTCCACTTTTCCTAGGGTATTTAAAATAGGATTTAATTACTCATTACTCTGCTAGAACATATGTTTTACTAAAAGTGAGACAGGACCTTTCACAACTAAAAATTCAAACACCCACCAACACCAAACACCGCTTCTCATTTGGAAGGGGAATGAGAGCAATGGGTCTGTATTTTACTGCTTCCTCACTAACATGCAGCTCATCTCTGTTTCTGAGCGGGGACCAAGGGTGCATAATGTGGTTTCAGAAGGGAGAGTGATGGATGAGAAGGTTTTCATGCCTTCTCATTCCTCACCATTCGCTCTTCATACATCAACAGGCGTGTACTCCTCACAGCCGGGACTCTGACACCCTGAGGGGACAGAGGTAGTGGGGTGGTAGCTACCAGGTTGTAGTCTCGCAGGTACGGCTCTGAGGTCTGTTGGCAGATCCCCACTGTTAGGGATCCCTGACCTAACTTGTCTTTTCCTAACAACTTGGCTATTTCACCGACTGGACCTCAGACTTGTGTGAGAAATCACGTGGTTCACCGAAGCCTGGAGGTGAAGGATGGGCATCTGGTCATTCCCACAGATGTTCCTAAAGTGCCTGTAATTCCGAGGGCCAAGGTCAAAGGCAGTTCCTACCTTAACCACCTGCTTGATGCCACTGATGATGCTGTTCATGAGGGACTTGAGCATGTTGGCGTCACTGAGAGAGTCTGCGTAGCGCACGCACATGAACAGGATGTGGGCTGGCAGCCCGGGGATCATGTTCACCACCACGCCGCGGGGCTTCAGGTCTAGAGCAGAAAGTCAACGAGGATGACAGCTGGTGGTCAGCTCTCCCCCCGAGGAACCTCTGACTATAGGGCAGGGGTTGTTTGGTTTTCTGTACTTGACACAATGCTTGAACGCATAGGGATGTCCTTTCTCTTTGAGAAATTCAGTTTGGCTCTTCTTTCGGCAAAAAACGTTCAGGGGCTACCAAGTGCTCCTCTTACTTCTCATTTGCAAAGAACCTTCTCCCTGGTGTGGAGACCCTGGATCCCCAGGGTAAGAGAGGAAGCACAGTTCCACGCACCCACCCCAGCCCCTGTGATGAGCTGCAGTACCATCTCAGCGACTACGTGCACCTGCCTTGGATCCGGGAAAACAGGAGCATGACAGTCCTGCAGAGGAGGCCTCGCTGGCCGTGGAGAGAAGAGAATGGTGGGGTGACAGATGGGGAGGAAGGGAAGAGAGAAACTTTATAGAACGAATTAAGATAAGCAGACAAAGACCTCCGCATGGCTGAATGAAAACTGGGGAACAAAGAAGAGGCCCCCAAACTGGGCATC